AATTATATTGCATACCTGTTGCTGCCATAATAATCACCTATTTCAAATGTTTACGTGCTTTTCTTCTCTTTCTTCCTTTTGTTCGTAACAGCTCCCACTCACTGTGGTGGAGCAGTTATGAAATATTGTTCTTATAAATACTTTCAGCATTTGAGTATTTTTTCAGTAATAACTATGCAAATTAATGTTCAGCAATGGTCAAAAAGGAGTTAAACATTGAATTTTGAATCGATTTCTTGTTTCTTATCGGACGGCAATTAAATTACCACACAACCTTGGTGTTTGTCAAAAAAACAATAGGTAATTCATCCAGGGATTTTTACTCGGGTTGTGGGAGAAAAACACTGACATTCTGGATTCAGATGGCAATAAAATCACAGACTAACCCCTGTAAATGTTGAAAATCACTTAGGTCCCAATGAGAAACAATTACCGTTTGAATCGGGATATAGTGCATTAGAATTTAAAAAAAATACTGAATAGAGTCATTCCAAATAAATTAGATCATTCTGAATTTGCAACAATCAAATTTTAATCAAATTTTAACATTTTCTGTATGCCAACAACAGGTGGACAAAGATGAGTCCAGGAAGAGTCTCTAAATCCCTGTCAAAGGAAAGCAGAGTAAATGTAAACCGATTGAAGATTTTAAAACTGAAATGCTGTTTGCTTTGACATAGTCGTGGTAGATTGTGTAGTGGCTGTTCTGCTTTTGTCAGTTTTTGTGTAAAAGCCCTGCTTTCAGAGGGGCCTCTGTGCTTCTTAATGGACTATTAAGGAAGTGACCGGCTGTTTTCTGTCACTCAGATGCAGAAGAATGTGCCATGTTAGTGTCATTTTTCCCCTCCCCGTCAAATGAACAGTCCCCAGGATTAAAATGACTCTCTGGGGTTATAGAGACAGGCACAAGGAGGTGATTCTCTGCCTTCCCTGGTTGGGAATAATCTCCCTCTGAAAGCTGAGAGGGGCAGAAATGCAAAAGAATAAAAAAGTGAAGCTCTTGAACAAAGCAGACAGTCCCAGCTGTGATAATCCCTACCTGGCACACTGAGCCAAACCCAGACCAGCAGAAACTGAAGACAGATTTATTAGATTTATTAGATTCACAGAAAAAAAATCTTAATGAAAAAATGCAAGAGAAAGACTGAAATGTCTTTAAGAGAGAGAAAGAGTAGCCCTCTCTTTGTCTCATCCTCTGGGTCTTACTAGGAGATTAACTCAGAGAGGACAAACAGGACACCAGAGAGCATCATGGGATATGACCAGTCCACAATCATCGTGGCTGTGTTTTCAGAGATATAGATAACACACTCTGCCCTACTACAGGCTGCACTGTACCACATTGAGGCTGAGTTAGTCCATTCTGAGTCAGTGAGCCTTTTCAGGACCACAGTACAGTCCCTAGCGCAGCCCTTCACTCATTCACAGCAAGAAAAATACATCAACCGAGGCTGATGCTGTTACAGACTTCAACAAACTCCTCTTATGCTCTTTTCAAGATTCACATTCACCACCTACGCCACGGTCCTTGAGCCTGTTCTGATTGTCTATGTTTGTGTCTCTCTATTGATCTGTCTATCCATATCTGTCTGTCTGTGAGTCTTTCGGACTGTCTAGTCATTTATCTATCTATCCGTCTGTCTTTCTTGGTGTCTATCTATCTATCTATCTGTCTGTCTGTCTGTCTGTCTGTCAAAAGTTAAGAGTCATTAATTGTACAGTGTACCTTGATTGTAATTAGTATATTCTATTCAACACAATAATGGCACATTTGATGTATTTCTGAAACAGCAACCTTGGCTGTGGGGGTCTTTAGTTTGGGATCTCTTCAGTGAGTACAGTAAGGCAACAGCAGGTCTTTGTTAGTTCTGAGGTATGTCTGCCATGCCAGCTGTCCTCCCACATTCCTGAGAGCTTGTCCATGTAAGGCAGGAGCAGAGAGTGGCACACACACTGACTGAAGGGTAGCTTTCACAACCAAACCCTCGGACACAGTATGAAACCTGTATATAAGACACACGGTTTGATCATCATAAAAATACAACAACAGTATGGGCTTTATTATCATAGCTCATTGTGGGTGTATAGCGACTAAATGAGAAACTATTTCCATTTGTCAGTCCCTAAAGTGAACGTTCCATCCTACATCCATGACTTAATTTTGCTCTTTCCACGTTGGTCTTGTATAGCCAAGAATATTTAAAAGGATAGTGCACTCAAAAATTCTGTCATCATTTACTCACCCACGTGACATTCAAAATCTGTATGAACACCAAAGAATTTTTGTCCATTCGGTGAAAGTCAGTGGGGTCCAAAACAACACTGGACATTTTTCAAAATGTTCCACAGAAGAAAGTAAGTCATGCAGGTTTGAAACAACATGAGGGTGAGTACACGATGACAGGATTTTCATTTTTGGGTGAACTATCTTTTTAACAGAAGAACTCCTCTGCTTCTCACTCACATTGAAGCCTTTGCTTCCCATAATTCAGCTCCTGTCCACTTTCTCACTGTTTTGTGGGTCAACACACTGCCAAGAAGATTAAATGTAATACCAGCGGCAGATTTGTCATTGCTCAGTAACTGCATTTGGTGTATCTGGATTTATCTGTGGTTAGTTGTTCTGCCTGTAAGGGGGAAAGAGATGGTTTTCCCTCGTGTTTCAATTGATCATTTCTGAGGCATTTTCCCATCAGTTCCTGCAGTTTACTGTAAGGCTTTATTTTGGAGTTTGGCTCCAGGTGGGTGTGTTGCCGTATGTGGATGTTTGAGGGTACTTAATGAGTGTGTATTTGGTGCCAGAAGGGTGAGAGATAGTACGGTGCCAGACAGACGCAGCTGTCTTGTGTTGATGACACAGATCTCTGATGGATAAATGATGTAAACAAGCGTTTCTTTAAATCCATTCATGTGACTATGCTTTCCTAATTCTGTTTGTGTGTTAGTTTACATTTGATTTCTGAGGTTAAAAGCTAGAAATCTGTCAAGACAAATGATGCAGATTTCAGTGTATGTGTGTATCACAGCACCTGTCTGAAGCAGTCCCAGCTTTCCTGACTGCAAATCCCAACATCATCTCACACAGGGTTTGTTTGGGACACTGGCAGGAATGTTTAGCAGCTGTTGGGTATTGTAAAAGGTTAACTTGAAATCTTGTAACCGCTGTCTCTGTCTCTCTTTCTCTCTCTTATTAAAGCTACACAGAGTAACTACATTTGATCCAATTTTTAACACAAGATTTAACTGTGGCTGCAAAGAGTGTAAGTGTTTTGATCACTAGGGCTAAAGACATTTGCACTGATATTTTTTCATATATATATATTCATGAATATTTTTATAGTTTTTTTTTTATAGGTTCTTATAGGTTTTTATATGTTCAGAGAAATCATAATTTTGACCAAAGAGAAAGATTTGAAATATCTAATGTAGGAAATTACAGTTTTTCTCAGTCGCTTTGGTGCATTTCTCAAATCAGAAATGAAATTCTCAAAACTACTTGTACAACTTCCACATCATCTAGTCATTTGTACACATCATAAAAGCAGTTTCTCATTCTTTTGAACAAGCTGCAATTGCTTTGGTACGTTCATGCAATTGATTGTGTACATTTATCTGCGGTTTCCTACATTATCAGTTGCTAATGTCATGTTGCTCAAAATGTATTATATAGTTTTCTGTGCAATGGTCTTACCTCTCAAAACATCTAGTCTTTAGTTCATCGTATAAGTCATTAAATGCAAAATGTTTGATCTGGTTGTCATAAAGTGTCAAGCACATTTTTTACACATTATAATTAGACTTTTTGTAAATTTAGCATGAATTGTGCAAGTGAATCTTGACTTTCACTAATGAAGAGAATTGATAAACCATTTCTCTGAAATAGCTCAAAGGTTCATCTCATGAATCTTCAGTTGTAAAGCATATACTGTATAGACAGACGACAACACGAGTTCTATTCTAACAATGGACTTTCTTTTTTTTTCATCTTTGTGCGCATATTTCTTTTTCATTTTCTATATCACAATGACATTGTAATGTGTTTTTTTTTTTTTTGGTCAGACCACTAGTAAAAGTGTAACTGGGAATTCTATCCAGTCTCTTTCAATCAATCCCACATACAGTAATGTGTAAATTTGTACTTTTGAAATGGATATATGGCATACATAAGCATATGGCATACTGTTCAGTACAGTAACTGTCAACCAAAATGTTGCCGTAGTTTATATCAGGTAATACTAACAAAGTGCACTGTTATACTGACAACATGACTAAGCATTTTGACTATCTTGTTTGTGAACAATGACAAAATGACATGAAATGCACATACTTTTTTGCAAATATTAAGGATGATTCGAGAAATGCACCAAAGCGACTGAGAAAAACTGTAATTCAAATTTAAAAAAGTTTTTTACTAAATGAACAAGAAGAGCTATTTTTTATTATTTTCATTTATATCCCCCGAACAGAATTATTTATTTTTGTTTACTACATAATTTTAATACACACACAAAAGATGAATCATTATTTTGAATGTATTACAACAGTTTGAACTGATTCACATTAAAGAATCAAACTTGCCAACTCAACTACTTTTTGTTGCTGAAGTGTAGGTCAGAGGTGCTATTAAAACGTATATCTTAATGTTCTCATACTTGTGAGATAAGGAAAGATTGAGAAGATATGTCTGAAGATATGTCTTTGGGAAAATGAATGGCCAAATAAAAAAAAAGAAAACCACAATATTCATGATTTTGCTTAATTTGATATTGCCAAATAATTTCCCATCATACTAAAACAGCGTTGTTGCTTCTCACCACCACAGCCTGAAGGGACTTTTAGTGGAAACTTGGCCTTTGCTGAGCATTAATGGAAAATTGCTTGAGCTCTGGTTGGCCAAACTGGCAAGAGAATGAGAATTACATGTTCAATTTTTTCTTGTACACTACAGACTGAAGGTTCTACTTGAACAACATTACAAATACAATCCTGTTCTGCTCATCATGTCTATTTTGTTTCTTTTTGTTTCCTTGAAAGTCCTGTCAGCGGCCAGTGCGCAGGAGCCTGATCTTGCCCACGGCTGTACCCATGGAAGTTGTTACCCTGCAACTGGTGACCTCTTGGTGGGTCGAGAGACGAACTTGAAAGCTTCATCCACCTGTGGCTTACGGAGGAGAGAACCCTACTGCATTGTCAGCCATCTGCAGGTAGAGCCGACACCAGTTCTCACATACCGTTACACATTTACACACACACACACACACATACCATTTTTTGTGAAGATACTGATACTGCTGAGCTGATCCTTTTTTTAATTTTCGACCCTTGACCTTGTTTAGGAAGAAAAGAAGTGTTTCCACTGTGATTCACGGCGACCTTATGATCCTTATTCCAACCCTGTAAGTCACCGCATCGAAAATGTCATCACCACCTTCAAACCGCACCGCAAGAAGTCCTGGTGGCAGTCTGAGAATGGTGAGAGAACAAGAATTTGGATCAAAAGTCCATCTTTTCAGCTATTGTTTTTAGGCTTTTTACACTTTATAAGACATATAGGTCAGAGTTGGATCTACATATCAACCACAGCTCAACCTCAGCCAACTGTTAATTAATGCATGCAGAAAACCATGTGTGCTAATCCGCAGCTTCAGTGATGTTTTGATGGAAATCCACACATCTGTTTGGTTTCATTTGTCAAAAGTAGAGTAATATGTTGCCAGGAAATTTGATTGCCTCCCTGAACCCTCCAAACCCAGCTGCTTGGCAAGGACTGGAAACGCTTCACATGTATATTAGAAGGTTGATGTTTAGGGCGTCTATTAATAACACCGAGACTGAGGAAGAGAGATGCATGCATTCAGAATGATGCCCAGTGCTGGGGCAAATTAGCCTAAAAGAGTTAACTGAAATGAAAATAAATATTTCTAAATAATATTTTAATGTACTGCTCAAAGGTTTGGGGTCAATAAGATGCTTGTAATCAGCCAGGACACTTAATATTGCTCAAATATGATGTGAAGACATTTACAATGTTATAAAAAATAGTGTTTATTAACCTTTTCTTTTAATCAAAGAATCCTGACATAAAATGTGTCATAGTTGCCACAGAATTATCAAGGAAACTGTTTTCAACATTGATAATAATAAGAAATGTTTCTTGAGCACCAAATCAGCATATCAGAATGATTTCTGAAGGATCATGTGACACTAAAGACTGGAGTAATGACTGCTGAAAATTCTTCATCATCACAGGAATAAATTATGTTTTAAAATATATTAAAGTAGAAAACAGTTATTTGAACTTTTACTGTATTTTTGATCAAATCCTTTCAGATCCCTTGAGTATAAATAATTTATTGTACTAAATTAACAACTTAAATGGACAGCCCTACTTATTTAGTACTAGGATGAAGATAGATATTCAGAATGGAAGTAAGTATGTACAAGAGTGCAGAAACAGAGGAAGGTTGTTAGTTGACTTGGCTGTATTTCAAAGCTAAGATGTCCAGGCTCACCCTGACACACACTCCTTAAACCCTGCAGTATTAGAGATAATTACAGACACGGCCTGCTGCTGGCATACCCATAGAGAGGTTGAAAGAGGGAGACAAAACTAATAGAGCAGAACATGGAAGAGATGCTACTAACTTAACTACATTTTCCATAGCATGATAATTATCTGTAGTTATCTGATAGTTTATCTGTTTTCAAAGTAGCAAGTTTTTTTTTCCCCAGTAAGTTTTCATTAACAAAATTTCCAGTAACAATTTACTTTTTCCAACAAGTAGTAGTGTAATGAGTTAAATGTTAAATGGTTGTTTTTCATGTCAAACTGTATTGTGTACTCAATGTAGCTATTTAGCTCTCAGTATTGCCCAGTGTAGTTAAATTAATTAATTACAATGAAATAAAAAAAATAACTGAAAATTTACTGGCAATTTTCTGCCAAGACATTGTCCATTAATTTTAAGGATATTTACTTTAGCCCTAAAACACAACCCAATGCAGTGCAAAATTCAAAATACTGGTATAACACCTGTAAAAATCAAAACGGAAATTTCCTTCATATTAATACAGTACTGTGCCCTATTTTTACGGATTATTTTTGTTAGTAGCTTATACTCTGCACTTGACTTTACTACTTTAATTAGCTTGAAGCTTGTAGCTTGGCAAGCTACAGTTATAAAAATGTTTGATGCACTGATGTCTGATGGGCTGAAATTATATTTAGATCTTATATGTAATTTTATTCAAAACAATACCTCTTTACATCTTAACAAAGTTCCTTTTATAGTTTAAGAGAGTGAAACCCCTGTTTGTCAGCTGTGTGTCTTCTTAGTTAAGGAATTAATTATGGGTGTTCACAGGAAATGGTCACTATTTTTGCTCACAATCACTATGGCTTCAGTGACTTTTCTGTAACAGTGCCATATAGTGAACAGTAGATCAGTTGTTCAGCATGTCTCAAAAGTGGACCCCTGTCATGACCTCTATATCAATATTGAGTGGATACTGGATATGGTACTTTTTGGTGTCCAATTTGGTGTACTTTTTAAGGCTTAAAAAATTAGTTGTTAGAGAATATGATCAAATACATTTTTTGTTTTTTAATTTGTGGGAAATGTTAATTTATCAGTAACTAGATACCAAAATTTGGTCTCAAACTGTTCCCATCAGTTGCCCTGATGAATAGAAAAAATTATTATTATTATTATTAATTAATAATTATTCATTATTGTTAATAATAATAGTAAATAATAAAGTAATACAAATAAAAATAGCAATAGCAATAAATAAAATGATTTAAAAAAAATACTTCAGGCAATATTATGTACCCTATTATTATTTCAGGCACTGTTATGTACCCTCTTCGTGGAAACTGCTGTTTGTCTAGATTTCTTTATGGTGTGTCACGTGTTCTATATAGGAAAAAATCAGGTGCTCTACATGAGAGTAGTCTTTTTCATGGGTCTTTGGCATTGAGGCTTAAAGGCAGCGACTTAACGACTTCCTCCTCCAGCCAAAACACTGAAACATGTATTGAAAAAACAGCAAGCCTTTCAGTCAATTTCCTTTTGTGCTCCACTTCACCTCCGCTGGCCTCTCCCCCCACTCTGGTCCCTCATTCTCTTCGGCTGTGGTAGAACCTGTCTCTCTTTTCCTCAGCGTCTCTTTCCTTCCTGTTTAGCTGTTGATTATGAAACACAGGTTAAATCCAGCAGTCAGACAAAGGGCCGCTGCAGTGGACTGAGTTACAGCTTTGTAATGGTAATGCAGGGAGGCACAGGTGAGCTCTATATGGTGCCAGCTCTGCAGAATACAGTCCGTCTGTCGCTCCAGATGAATAATGAACTGTGCACGTAAGAGCTGAACAGAACAAAAGTAGATTGTTAAACCATCCCATCTATTTCTAGCTCTGCTTAGTCACTGTAGGACACTGTGTTTCAATGTGCATATTGTTGTGCATTGTTATTCTGAGTTAGTCAGAGCCTTATTAAATTCCCAGATAAAGTGGTTTAGGAAGAAAAACACAGGATCTTGTTCACTGCAGTCCCTGTGTCGTTATTGTGTTTCACATGTACTCAGGGTTAAAATGAGAGTGTAAAAACACCTGCATTCTGCTAGCAAAGTCGAGTAAAATAAGAATCAAATAAAAGAATAAAATAAGAATCTGTTTGAAGTCATTAAAGTTAGGAAGATGTTGAACCAACATATAGAGCAAAATCTTCCTCACAGCAACACTAATGTTTGGACATTTTATGTCTTATGGTTTTTGGGTTTTAATAAAACAAAAAAAAAAGTTGCATGGAGGTCACATCGGCACTAGTTAAATATCATTGGTTAACAAGGTGTGTTTATTGTGCATTCAAGTTGCAAATTTGTTAAATTATGCAAAAATAATGAAAGTATTGGTAGAGTATTAGTAAATGAGAATGTCTCATCTATAAAACATCTAAAGCAGACCATTAAAATGAAGTGTTACTACAAAAATATCTTCTCATTACAGTCGTGGGGTCTTTTGTGAAATTGCTGATAGCCACCGTTGACCTCTTGGATCATTAATGTAGAACATGATTTCTCTTCTCTCCTCAGGGAAGTCTGACGTTTATCTTCAGCTGGACCTGGAGGCAGAGTTTCACTTTACTCATCTCATCATGACTTTTAAGGTAAGAAAGTTTTTGTCCTTTAAGAAATCACCCTTGAAACACTTCAAAACTGACCTCATACTGTCAATTGTTTTTGTACACAGACGTTCCGTCCAGCGGCCATGTTGATTGAGCGATCCGCAGATTTTGGCCGAACCTGGCAGGTGTACCGTTACTTCGCCTTCGACTGTGAGTCCACCTTCCCGGGAATTTCCCAAGGTCCACTTCGTAAGGTTGATGATATTATCTGCGAGTCCAGATATTCTGACATTGAGCCATCGACAGAAGGAGAGGTGAGAGGTATTCAGTTGGAAGACTTTGTTAATTTGTCAGTTCATTTGTTAGGTTGTTGACCTGCACTTCTCTTCTCTCAGGTGATTTATCGTGTTCTTGACCCTGCTATCCAGATCGAAGACCCTTACAGCCCTAACATTCAGAGTAAGTAAACCTTAACAATCCTAAGCGTTAACTGTATAAGACACAGCTATTTGCATTGAAAGGTTTTGTTCTCTTTTCCATCATTGGCAAAGATCTATTCACATGTATTTAAATTCAGTTTCCAGTTTATTGCTGTCCATCCTGCCTCTTTATTACATGTCAGATGGAGGGATCTAAAATGAAAGCATGTAAAATGGAAATAGCAGCTGATTTTTCCTCCTCAGGTTGTTGTTCCTGTACTTTAACTGGCTAACCTAAAATATTTCCTAGGAACAGCATGAATAACCTATTTCTTCTTATAATAGGAAAGTGCAGTATGTCTCGTGAACAGGTCTTCACTTGGTAACAACCACATTTTTTAGTCAGATTTTTTTCCTAAATGATGAATATTATGTGTTGCAGGTGTTATTTTATCCAAATACATTAATATAAATTTTAATGGTGTCAATAAATGTGTGTGTGTGTGTGTGTGTGTGTGTGTGTGTGAGTGTGTATAAGGATCACACACACACACACTTATTTATATTATTTATATATTACAGAATGTTTATATTATATAATTTTATAACAGTATATTTTATAATATGATCTATCTATCTATCTATCTATCTATCTATCTATCATGTAAATTATAAGTTATTTAATTTTTACCTACTGTAGAGCTTATTTAGGCAACGGCTGGATCTTAACAAACTTTTTGTCTTTAATATTTCATCTATTTATATATGTTTTACCTTTTGCAGAAATGATTGACAAAGAAAATGTAAAGGAGCAGATGGACTTGACTAAAAATGTATTAATGAATATTTCAGATGAGACATCCAGTACATAATGAACAAGATGTGCTCTAATAACCCAACACAGAGACATAAACAGGTGCAGCCTACATATCATATACTCTAGACATTTCTTTTGTCTCTTCTTCCAAATTATCACTCAGTTTTCCCTCTTTCAGATTTCCTCTGCACATTGTAACTCGTATGTATGTGTACGTAAGAGTTACATACACATATACTAAGAATTTGCAGGGAAAAAAATAGTAAAATAATTAATAAAGTGAACATTTCATTTTTTAACTAAAGTTAAAAAAAAAAATTTAAACACGGTATAAAAATTAAATAAAAACAAAAGAATTTGCAAAAGATTGGAAAATAAACTGAACTATAAATGTGCACTAAAATAAGTGTGTTGAAGCCAAGTACCATCACAGTGTGTGTAGCAGAATAAGCTGATGATGAACTTCCCGGTTCAGCTGGTCAGCGTAATATTTCCATATGGCTGTGAGTTTTCAGTCATACACAGCGTGAGTGTGTATAAATTGATCTCGCACTCTCTGTGTGGCTCTCATTTTCTGTTATACTGAACATCTAGAGCATGACCTTTGTTCTTCTTTGTGTTTTTCCCCTTTGTTTCTTTTCTTATTAGATTTTATTCTTTTTTTCCCTTTTTCTTTTGTTTTTATTTGTTTTTCTTTTACTGTTTTGCTTTTTTGTCATTGTTTTTTCCTTTTTTATTTCTTTCTTTTTTGTTTGTTTTTCTCTCTCTTGGTTTCGCTGCTTCTTTTTTGTTTGTTTTAATATTTTGGGGGGGGGTTTCATTTTATTTGTTTTTGTTTGTTTGTTTCTTTCATTTTTTTGTTTTTATTGTTGCTGTTGTTGTTTTATTGTTGTTATTGTTTGATTTGTTTTTGTTTTATTTGTTTTCTTCTTTTTATGTTTTTCTTTCTTTATATTTGTTGCATTTGTTTATTTATTTTTTTTGGTTTCCTGCTTTTTTATCCTCTTTCTTTCTTTCTTTCATCTGTACATTCATTTATTGCTTTCTGTCTTCATCTATAGTTTGTGAATGTAGTTTGGAGGGCTCCCAGAGCCGATTCTGTGACCAGTACTCAGGACAGTGTCTATGCCGGGCTGGTGCATTTGGTCAGCGCTGTGATGGTTGTCAGGTTGGACACTGGGGCTTCCCAAACTGCATGCCGTGTGAATGTAATGGACATGCTGACGAGTGCCACCAGAGGACTGGAGCCTGTATCAACTTAATTTAAATAATTCCATTAATAATTTAATTTATTAATTTAATGTCATAACTGAATATTGTTCTATTTAAAGTATTGCCATTATTTTAACACTAAGCCATCAATAACGATTTAGTTGCAACGCAGTTTAACACCTTTTCCTTTAGATATGTGAACCTAATATTGCTTATTGCTAATATATTAATTACATACTTCTAAAGTTTCACTCAGAAACCCTATTAAATAAATTGTTATGGAAAAAAGCATCATGAAACTGGAAGTGCTTTATCCTAAGAGGACAATGGATTTTCCAGCTGTGACCGTTTTAGTGCTATTTCTTTAAAGAAAGTATTATTAAATTCAGTTCAGCATTAAAAATGTCCTTCAATTGAATTTAAGCCATTTTTCTTTTCTTGTTTACACAGATGCTTTATAAAGACATTTTCTCTGTTTAATTGTGACATGGGAGTAAAACATAATTTTTAAGGATATGTTATCAAATTCTATCTTTTTGCAACTAAACGCCTACTTTCTCCATCAACCAGGTCCACGTTGTGACGAATGTGCTCCGGGTTATTACGGCGACCCCTCTAAGATCGGTGGACGGTGCCAACCTTGTCGTTGCAGTAACAACATTGATCTATCAGATCCTGAGGCATGTGACAAACGTACTGGCCAGTGTCTCAAGTGCCTGTACAACACCGAAGGACCGGACTGTGGTGTGTGCAAGAGCGGATACTATGGAGATGCTTCCCGCCGCAACTGCCGGAGTGAGTTTACCTGGGTCTTAAATTACTTTTATTCATTATAGTGCACTATTAACATCTTAAACATATCGACACTTTCACTTACCCAGAGTGCACCTGCAACTTCTTGGGCACAGAGCGCAGTCAGTGTCTGTCTCGAGATGAATGTGTGTGCCAGCGTGCCACAGGACAGTGTCAATGTCTGCCTCATGTTATTGGACAAACCTGTGATCACTGTGCTCCTAATTACTGGAACCTGGCGAGTGGACAAGGCTGTGAGACCTGTGGCTGTGACCCCAACAACGCCTACACATCTGCCTGTAATGAGGTACCTTTGGCTCACAAATTAAGCTCACATTCAGGGCAGTATATGTATGTATGTACCATTCAAAAGTTTGAGTTTGTTTTTTTTAAAAAGAAAATAATTCAGGTTGGTTTAAACTGATCAAAAGTGACATTAGTAAAGACATTTATAATGTTATAAAAGATTTTTATTTTAAATAAATGCTGTTCTTTTGAACTTTCTATTCAGCAAAGAAAATGTCCTGTAAAAATAAAGTATCATGATTTCTACAAAAATATTAAACAGCACAACTGTTTTTAACATAAATAATAATAAGAAATGTTTTTTGATCATAAAATCAGCATATTAGAATAATTTCTGAAGGATCATGTGACACTGAAGTAATGGTGCTGAAAATTCAGCTTTGCCATCTCAGGAATAAATTACATTTAAAAATATATTAAAATAGAAAACAATTAGTTAAAATTGTAATAATATTTCACAAAATTACTTTTTCACTCTGTTTTGAATGCAGCCTTAATGAGCACAAGAGACTTCTTTTCAAAAATATATATTAAAAAAACGTACCAACCACAAACTTTTGAACGGTAGTGTGTATTTATTTATTTATATTACACTATTTTAGATTTTACACAAAGACAGATCGTTGATAAGTAGACTTATGGGATAGGGACTGAAAATCTGAAAAGCTTTGCTATCTAGCCTAATAATAAAATTTGGGCCAATACAGAGCAATTATTATTTTTATATTATGGCTCATAACTCATAAAAGGATCATTTTAAAATGATATACTGTTTTGTCTAAATAAATAAAAAATAAAGAACTAAAAACTAAAAGCAGTAATTTCAAATGCTATAAGTGAATTTAGGCACAGCATTATAATATATCATATGAAAAATAGATATTAATTTTGAAATTCGCTAAAGATTACATTTAACTGTGTTATTAAAGATTGAGTGAGTATGAGATGATGGAAAAATTGACTAAATGTAAAAATAGAAGATATGAGTATAAACAATTAAATATACACTATTGACCAATATCAAAAAAAAAATCTCTGATAACCAATGTGATATTCATATATCTTGCATCCCTAGTTTTAACATGCCTGCAGTAATCTTAAATATTACTAAGCCTCTTTTTGAACCCAAGTTCATATAGTTCACAGGTCAGTGCCAGTGCCGTGTTGGGTTTGGAGGGAAGACCTGTAAAGACTGCCAGGAGAACCACTGGGGTGACCCAAGAGTACTGTGCCGAGGTACCATGATACTTTCAGAGCACTTTCTATACATAATCTGTGTCCATATCATCTCTAATGCTAATGTAACACCGTTTATCATCAGCTCGAATGCTCTAATTAGCATATTTTTTATTCACAATTCATCATAATTCCCAAAATCCGACTGATTTGGTTACTTCTCTCCCCACAGCATGTGACTGCGACCCCCAGGGCATCGAGTCATCTCAGTGCACCCGTGTGACTGGTCATTGCGAGTGCAAGCAGGGAGTTTCTGGTGTCCGCTGTGATCAATGTGCCCGTGGTTTCTCTGGCACCTTCCCTGAATGCAAGCCTTGCCACCAGTGCTTTGGGGACTGGGACCGGATCGTTCAGGATCTGGCAACCAGAACTAAAGTGCTCACAGATCGAGCCAAGGAGCTTCAGACTACTGGCTTGACCCGAGCCTTCGAGAGAAAATTTAAGGAGTTGGAGGACATGCTGGCACAGGTGCGGGACATTGTTAATGCCCGCAATGCCACTGCTGAGGCTGTGACCACTCTGATGGGCATGATCGAGGATCTCAGGTACAGTTTGGTTAGACGGAGATACACCACAGGTGCAGACAATACATTTTCTTGGATCGCTTGAAAGATTTGCTTGACTAGTTGAGGGTGTTTGGGGGAAAATTACTTGAGTTATTTTACTTCATTACTATACTCAATTATTAATATTGGGAATTTATGTTACTAGTATTATTTACAAGTACTATTGAAATTAATTAAAATTGGGGGGGGGGGGGGGAAAAAAATTAAAATAAAATGGGAATATACTTCAGACAGAGTTATTTTACTCATAAGAATTTCTAGGGGTGCCAATAATTGTGGCCAACATGCATTGGAGAAAAACATTTATTTCATAATGTGAGTTTCCGCCCACTTTCAATTGTTTTACTTCAATGAAAGGTTAGAATTTTTTGAATGAAAGATCAAAAGGATAAATGATGCAGATTTATTTTCACAGCCGCCTTTGCTCATATTTACCAAGGGTGCCAATATTAGTGGAGAGCACTGTATATTCCCCCTCTGTTTTTCATTTCTTCTCACAGAATTTTAACTCACAATACTTTGAATTCTTTTGAGCTTATTTAATTTCAACTCTGTCCCAGACTTGTCTGAAAACTGAAGACCCTTTAATGCTCATACTTTGGTCACTGTCTACATGTCATGTTGAATATTTGCAGAGGAGGGGGCAGATCCTGACAGCATTGAGGCGGTGGCCAATCGGGTGCTGGAGCTGTCAATTCCTGCTTCTCCCAGGCAGATTCGACACCTCGCAGATGAGATTAAAGACCGTGTCAAGAGCCTGTCCAATGTGGACGCCATTCTGGAACAGACCCAGAATGACGTCCTCAAAGCAGAAAAGCTGCTGCTGGATGCCAAGAAAGCCAGGTGACTATTTGCACATCTGGATTTATGCACTGTTTCTGTACATCACTTTGTAAGTGTAAATGCAAACAGTATTCTTTCACTCTAGGAATAAGGCAGAGGGAGTAAAGAACACAGCTGAGAGTGTGAGGGGGGGGGATAATAATTAAATTAAATTTACTGGTCATTATGACAAATATATTCTGTACATTTAAAAAAAAAAGTATTCCTACTTTTTATTACTAAGACTAGTTTAGATTACCTTTAATATTTTTTTTGCATCAAAATTACATTAAGTAATTGGATTTTAATTATGTTTTAATTAATTAGAAAATGTCTTGATTTTATTTGTCATTCTCAATAGCTATGAAAAAGTTTTATGAATTTTAAACATTTAAGTAATTAATTTTAGAAAGTGGTTCTTGTTAAATACTTGTAAAGGAGTACAAATTTGACATGGAACCCACACTTTCACATGAATATTAAGTATAATTTTCTCGCATTTTGTCACTTTTTACACCCTTGATGGAGATGAGTTTGGTCAGTTCATCAGCTCTCTTTCTGTCTCTCAGAGCTCAGATCGGTGAGACCACGGACACATTGAACCAGCTGGAAGGAGACCTGACCGCTGTGCAGGACAGTAACTATGAGGCCAGTAATGCATTAAGTACCCTGGAGAGAGAAGCAAAAGAACTCGACCTGAACTCAGATCAGCTTAACCGTCAGCTTGACATCCTCAAGAACTCTAACTTCTTGGGTTAGTCACTGATTCTGTATTACTCTACCTAAAAATGCACCTAAATACGCAAAATATTGAAACAAGTGCCATTTACTTATTATTACCTGCCAGAGAACAATCCATTGACTGATCTTTTGGGTCTATTGGAAAAGGAAAACGTACTATTTAACATGTGGTATTTTTCCTCAGGTGCATATGACAGCATCCGGGCCTCGTACAACAAGTCACGTGATGCAGAGCACCGCACCAACAGATCTACCACTGACATTCCCAGCACAGTGAGCCAATCGGCAGGCACCCGCAAGAAAACAGAGCGACTTATTGCCCAAAAGAGAGACGATTTTAACCGCAAAAATGCTGCCAACAAACGGACGCTCACAGACTTAAATGCTAAAGCTCAGAATTTGGACATAAAGAAAATCAATGAAAAGGTAAGCTGGATGAAACATAAGTGACGACAAATGCCTCAACAAATTTAAAGTTATAACAGTACATACATACATCTGACTGAATAGAAAGGTATATATTTAAAATATTATAAAATCATTGTTTATATAATGTATAGAATATTATAAAGTGTTTGTCTAATAAAATATTTGTATTATTACCATATGAATTATTATATAACATCTTATTATATGTAATATTATTAATAATGTTTTTTTATGATATTAGTTTCCTTTAGAGCTCTTGATATATTGTTTTTGTAGATATGTGGAGCACCGGGTGACGCTCCATGCGTGGACAGTCCTTGTGGCGGTGCTGGTTGTCGTGATGATGAAGGCAAGCGCCACTGTGGTGGCCTGAATTGCAATGGAGCTGTTGCAGTGGCCAACAATGCCCTGGATAGATCCAAGCATGCAGAAAAAGAGTTGGATAAAGCTATGGGAGTAGTGGAAGAGCTTTTTAAGCAGGTAGAGACACTCTTTAATTATTCTGACCAATTACTTGCATGATTAGAGTGTTTTCAGTGCTGTCAATTCCTTTTAAGACTGAACATTCTCCAGAAAGTCTTCAGTCTTTTCTCTGCATCTTATATTGTCTTGATGGTCTTATTAAGGTGGCAGATGCTAAGACCAAGGCTCAGGAAGCTAAGGATAAAGCCCAGGCAGCTTTGGAAAAAGCTAGTGATACCAAAAATAAGGTGGATCATTCTAACAACGACCTGAGGGACCTCATCAAACAAATTCGGGATTTCCTCATGCGTGAGTTTATATATTATATTATATTATATTATATTATATATTTCATTAAGAGAATAAAAATGAACTAAAATGCATAAACCTGACAGATTATTCTCTGCATCTTATTCTATTTTACACTTAATAGTATACTTTTAAAATGTATTTAAAAATGCACATATTCTCTCTCTAATTTTTTTCCATTTCTGATCTTACCACTGTTTTCATATTATCCAAAGGGACTGCTGAATTAAAATTTTAAAATGTTTTACTACTTACTAATTAAAAAATGTATTATATTATATTATATTCACATGTATGGTCTTTGTGTTTTTGTTTTTGTTTTTAGTGTCTTGTTGTTTGACCCATTTTCCTAGTGTGCATGTGATTATTGTATTTAGTTCACCTGTTGTCTTTTAATTAGCCTATTAGTCCTCATTTTGTTTTATTACTTATAGTCCCATGCTTCCTGAGTTTGGTGTCCTGTCTTAACGTCGTGTTTGGAAGTGTTGCTAGCCTGTTTCTCTGTATTTCCCTGCGTTATTTGGATTAAAGACTATTGTCCTTGTTATTCCGTCTTCGTGAGTACTCTGTTTAGCACATTCTGTGAGACAATAAAAGAGAATAAAAATGAGCTGAAGGATTAAGTAAAATGCATAAAACTCTGGTAATACACCATGTTTCCTTACTAAATCTTTACTAAATTTTCAAAACATTCATCAATAATCAAATTTTCAAACATTTCATGTTACAGTGCCCTCCACTAATATTGGCACCCTTGGTAAATATGAGCAAAGGTGGCTGTGAAAATAAATCTGCATCGTTTATAATTTTGATCTTTCATTCAAAAATTCACAAAATTCTAACCTATCATTGAAGTAAAACAATGGAAAATGGGGCGAAAATCTGATTATGAAATCAGTGTTTTTCTCTAGTTCACGTTGGCCGCAATTATTGGCACCCAATTATTGCAATGTCCTTTTCCCAAGATAACAGCTCTAGTTTTGGGTTTGCTGCCAAAACGCTCTTTTTTCTTCTTCTTTTTTTCCCCATCTGGGAAGCCAGTCCCGTTTGAAGCCAGTCCCGTTTGAAGTTCCAGTCGTGTCTGACAACTGAATATGCTGAAGTTTGTTTTTGGATGAGCGAGGAGGATTTTTCTTGAAACCCTCCCGAACAGTATGTGGTGATGTAGGGGCTGTTTGATATTTTTTTTAGGCTTTCTGACCCCAAGACTCAACTAATCTCTGCAATTCTCCAGCTGTGATCCTTGGAGAGTTTTTGGCCACTAAAACTCTCCTCTTCACCGTGCATTAGGGCAATATAGACACACATCCTCTTCCAGGTAACATCTTAAGTTGATTGGAACTTCCTAATTATTGCCCCGATGGTGGAAATGGCGATTTTCAATGCTTTAGCTATTTTCTTAAAGCCACTTTCTATCTTGTGAAGCTCAACAATCTTATTCTGCAGTGCACATCAGAACTATATTCTTTGGTTTTACTCCTTGTGATGGATGATTATGGAAATTTGGCCTTCTGTTTGTTCCTCATATTTATAATCCTGTGGAACAGGAAGTCATGGCTGGACAATTTCATGCTCCTAGTCACCCTGGCGTGCTAAAAAAATATGAATGGGAATATACTTCAGACAGAGTTATTTTACTCATAAGAATTTCTAGGGGTGCCAATAATTGTGGCCAACATGCATTGGAGAAAAACATTTATTTCATAATGTGAGTTTCCGCCCACTTTCAATTGTTTTACTTCAATGAAAGGTTAGAATTTTTTGAATGAAAGATCAAAAGGATAAATGATGCAGATTTATTTTCACAGCCGCCTTTGCTCATATTTACCAAGGGTGCCAATATTAGTGGAGAGCACTGTATATTCCCCCTCTGTTTTTCATTTCTTCTCACAGAATTTTAACTCACAATACTTTGAATTCTTTTGAGCTTATTTAATTTCAACTCTGTCCCAGACTTGTCTGAAAACTGAAGACCCTTTAATGCTCATACTTTGGTCACTGTCTACATGTCATGTTGAATATTTGCAGAGGAGGGGGCAGATCCTGACAGCATTGAGGCGGTGGCCAATCGGGTGCTGGAGCTGTCAATTCCTGCTTCTCCCAGGCAGATTCGACACCTCGCAGATGAGATTAAAGACCGTGTCAAGAGCCTGTCCAATGTGGACGCCATTCTGGAACAGACCCAGAATGACGTCCTCAAAGCAGAAAAGCTGCTGCTGGATGCCAAGAAAGCCAGGTGACTATTTGCACATCTGGATTTATGCACTGTTTCTGTACATCACTTTGTAAGTGTAAATGCAAACAGTATTCTTTCACTCTAGGAATAAGGCAGAGGGAGTAAAGAACACAGCTGAGAGTGTGAAAAAGGCCCTGAATGATGCCAGCCGGGCTCAGACAGCTGCAGAAAAGGCCATTCAGAAAGCTAAAAATGACATCGGCTTAACTCAGAACCGACTAGCACAGGTAAAACAACTTTAATTAGGATTGACTTTAATTTTTATGCTCCTAAATTGAGCAGTTTTGACCACAAGTGCCCTTATAATTTTTCTAAAGATCCAATCAGAGACCACAGCTCGTGAGAGGGATCTTAATGATGCTATGGACAGGCTGGGAGATCTGGGGCGCCAAATAGAGGCCTTAAAGACCAAACGTGCCAACAACAGCCTGGACGCAGCACGGGCAGAGGAGACGGCCACCATGGCCCGCGACAAGGCCAATGAAGCTAAAGAGGTGTGTGGCAGTCATCTGTTTGTCACAAAATGTTTTGTTTAGGAATGTGCCTGAAGTCTAAATGGATAAAAAGTTCATGGAAAATGAGTAACGCATTCTACGGAGCCCCTAAAGGGACATGGTTAGGCTTGCTGTGGTAGGTGGTCACATTACAGTACATCAAATTTCACTTATCGCGTGAAGATAGTAAGAAGAGATGACTGAAAGAATGATGTTGGAGGATTTGGTGAGCAACAGATCCTGAGCGTAACTGACAAATATCTTATCTTGTAAAATCAATACCACCGCTCCCTGGTCGTGATCATGAATTCGAACAAGGATGCACAGATAGTGGCTCCCTGATGCCCGCAAATTATATACAATATAATTACCCAACTAGATAATTGCAAGACAATGCAAAAGCATTGAAACTTATTTTTTTTTCCATCACCTTGTCCTTTTAGGGGCTCCGTAGAATGCGTCATTTTCTTTCCGAACGTGGTATTTGTCTTGGGGCACATCCCTAGATTTGTTTACCAGAATTTAGTGACTTTATTGTCTGTTTTAGATCCTGGACGGCGAGCTGTCCGATAAGTATCGTACTGTTCAGGGCCTGATGGAAAATAAGGCGAAGACAATACGGGACGCTAAGCAGAAAGCAGAGCTCCTGAGAGATGAAGCCAAGGAGCTGCTAAAGGATGCCCAGGATAAACTGCAGAGGCTGGCAGGTAAATGTGTGAGAGACACACAGAGAACTGGAGGAAGTTCTTACAATTCAGTTTTATGTTTTTAATTGTTTTATGAATTTGGAAGAACCCGTACAGTTTGGTCAGAAAAGTCTGAGACCAGTAGTGGAAATACTTCTATTTTGCATTTGTTTCTAATTTAATACTTTTTTTATTACATTTTATATTATCAGCATGGAAGTTTAATTGAAAAATTAACATGAATATCAGAATTTCTTAGTATTTTATATTCTTTTGCTTTAATGACATCTATATACATAAAACAGTACAGGAATGTATAGCACCGAGCTGTCCTAATATAGCATAAAGTGAATAAATATTATTTTGTAAATAAATATTAAACATAAATATAATTGTATTATTTATATTATAATTTAAATATATTTTAAAAATACATAAAAACATAATTTTGTGTAGTAATTAAATAATTTTATAATTATATAATTATAAATATATATAAAAAATATAAGAGTAAGATAATAAATAAATTAATACATAAATACTGAATTAATACTGAGGTGTGGATGTGTGAAACACAATTTCGACTTATGCGGAGCATAAAAATGACAAATAAAAGGAATCTGAATCTGAATTATTAAAATAAATGTGATTTTATTATTTATATTATCATTTAAATTTTAAAAACATTATACATAAATATATATATATATATATATTCCTTTTATTTTGAATTTAGGGAGATTTATGGCACAGAACTGGCCTAATATAAGAATAAATAAATGAGAAATGAATGAATTAATAAATAAAAATAAGGAACATACATTTATTTATAAAATATAAACAATAAAAATAAATATTATTTGTTATCATTAATATTATAACTATATTATAAATATTATAATTGTATACAATGAACACATTTCTGAAGCGTACCAGTCAAGTAACTGAAAAACATAAACTGCCCTCTTGTGGAGATAAGTAATACTGATCTTGTGCCATGTTCTTGGAAGGTAGTCATTGTTTATTTCCTTGTAATTCTGACCTGGTTTTGTTGTTGTTTTGCATCCATAGAGCTAGAAAAGGACTATGAGGAAAACCAGAAGGTATTGGAAGGAAAAGCCAGGCAGCTGGATGGCCTGGAAGATAAAATGAAGGCAATCCTGAATGCCATCAATAAGCAGATTCAGATCTACAACACCTGTCAATAACCGGTCACAGGAAGCAAAGCCCAACAGCTGGACTGCTGCTGTCTCTGAAAGTTCACTACTGTCTGAACGGATCTGTCATTTGACTCTTTTCCCAGGCTGCTACAGTTTTTGCCAACAAACCTACAAGACGATGCCAGACTGCTACCAGATGCGATGTCTGGAACAAATGTATGTAATGTAATGTAATGAAGGGCTACTGTTATAACAACACTACATTAACATATTTTCATTCTGGAATTGAATGCAATGCAGATGTTCGTGTGTGTTGTAAGGCAGAGCAGTATTCTACTTTCTTGTTGTTAGAAATCTGCTTGTAAAATACTGAATACAGTATGAGGAAGATACTGAGTTTGCTTGAATGTAAGAGACACTGAATCGTGGCACAGATGTTTTATTGTATAGATTTTCTGCTAGCCCTTTTTCTTTTAAAACAGGTATAGCTTGGTACTTTATTAACATTCATTTTCTAATGAGAAAATACACATTTGTTGTCTTTTGAGGAATTAGTTTCTATAATAGGCTGAATGTCTAAGAGAAATTACTGTAAGAATGAACTTACAAAGACATTAGGCTATTATATGAAGTAAAATGAGTAAAGTTGTCCATATAAAGTCATTGGTTGTGTATCACGTACATTGATGTTCATCGTGTTTCTTCTCACGAGTAAAAAATAGCAATAATACTTAATAAAAATAAATAATATCCCTGTAATATCCAATGAAGGTATAAAGTTTCATTTGATCTCTTCAGCATGTTTAATGTATCTTAAGTATAATTTTCCAGGTGTTTTTCTTCCAAATCACCTCATATGTGTGAACGCCATCAGATAGAAAAATAATGTGTCAAATAGTTGACTGCAGGAGGGTTTTGAATATAATTTCTACTCCATCTATTGAATTGTCACAGCAGTCAGAAAGCTTCCAAATCTTACTGTTTTTATAAAATAGGATCATATCAAACCTACTTAAAATAAGATAAATTATATGAAAAACCCAAACAATTTATTTACCATAGTTGGCATACACTTGGTTGGCATACATTAATGTTTTAATGTTTCTGAAAGAAGTATTTTATGCTCACCAAGGCTAAATTTATTTGACCAAAAATACAGTAATATTGTGAAATATTATCACAACGTAAAATAGCTGTTTTCTTTTTTTATATATTTTAAAATGTAATTTATTTATGTGTTGGCAAAGCTGAAGTTTCAGCATCATTACTCCAGTAATCGGTGTCCCGTGATCCTTCAGAATCATTCTAAAATGCTGATTTGCTGCTCAAGAAACATTTCTTCTTATTACCAATGCCGAAAACAGTTGTGCTGCTTAATAGGAGAAAACCACAATTTGACGAACTTGAACACTTTTGAATCCACAAACGAAACAGGGACTGTCTTTGACGTTTTAAAGGGGCCATGAATTGCTGTTCTCTGAGGTCCCCTTATAATGTTATCAAGATTTTTACATCGAGAAAACAATTCAGAAGTAATAGTCTGCAGTATCTGCCATGTTTTGACCCCCCTCATCGGAAACAATAGACTGTACACTAGACTCGGAAGTAAACGCCCACTGCTATGATTGGCTAACAGTTGTGTATGTTTGACAGTTTACATCCTACACAGATGGACGCTGCTGTGATTATAAATACTCAGTACATATCAAACTATCTGTAATGGCAAAGCAATAGTGAGCACGAAATAAAAACAGTTACTCACACTTGTGTGGTACGACATTACGGTCTGATCCAATATAACTAGTCGGCACAGCATCGTCTTTTAGTCTTTCTGAAAATCCTGTTAAATTGTGCCTTGTTTGTAAACCAATCCCCAGTGAAATGAAGTGAACAAAGGACATAGTTCTTACTGACGCGGTCTGGGGCTTCATTCAAAATAAAGTTCATCCACTCTTTCCTAATGTTTGGATCAGAAGGCAGGCAATGCAACGACTGTGCTTTTCCACAGCATCTTGTTGTTTTCGGAACATATTTGTTTGATTTACGCGTTTGCCTGTAGTTGCACTACACGCGCAAATCGGTGGGCGGGGCTAAACAGGCAGTGATGTAGAAGCAGGGGTTGATCTTCGTTTGCGGAGGCGGGGTTTAGCCACACTATTACGTCATAAAGTGGCACATTTCACAACTTGTTGTTTTGACAGATTGGCTTCAATATACAGTGGGTACGGAAAGTATTCAGACCCCCTAAATTTTTCACTGTTATATTGCAGCCATTTGCTAAAATCATACTGTAAGCTGTTTTTAGACTAAAGAGAAAGTTCTGAGACTTACAGAATGTTTTTATAGTACAGTGATCTATTATATGTCAAAAGATCAAGGGAATTGTAATGTCTCAGTTCATGACCCCTTCAATGAATAGCAACAGTATATTTCAAATGTATACTTTAAGATATTTACATATGAAATGCATCATGAAATCTCGCATAAAAAAAAAACGTTTTAATCTGCGCGTGGTTGCAAACGCATAGGGACTGGGTGTCCGGAAGTAGACCGTGCGTATGTTTGTGTGTGGAGCAGGTTGGCGTGATCGCCGTCTCTACCCGGTTTGTTTTTGTTCTCTAACAAAGTGACAGTCTCAGAGCAGCGGTCGGCTCTGCAAGTGGAGGACGGACACCGTCGTTACATCTTTGTTTGTGTTTACAGTAACCCTGTTTCTGATTTAACACCACAAAATGGATCCTGGTTAAGGATTATTTTGGAAATAAAGAAGAATTCAGTTTTTAGGATGGCGAGCTGATGCGGCTCAGGGGCGATCGGCGGCCCGCTGCCGTGTGTGAAGCCTGGGGCTGAATTAAGCTGCAGTCGCCGCGGCTCCGCTGACGGAGGAAAGGACACGCCGCTGCGACTCCTTATTACAGAAGAACAACGAAACAAAGTAAGATTTCATTTAAACAAATGTTGTCATATCCAAGTATCGTATTAAGCCTTCACTTGTCCTGTAGGTATACATACGTTTTTCAGTACTGGTAGGCCTCGCGCTTCTGTTCCCTTTAACGGGTATTTAGCTCGTTCCTCACTCAACACGGCTAACCGGCGTCTCTTACAACCAGATTACAAAGTTAAGATATGTCACACTTCGTACGAATGATATTTAGTAGTATTAGACCGAAATTAACGTTAAGGGACAGTTTGTTAGTGACATGCTCGCAGTTAAAGAGAACTTGAGTGTGGAATCGCTACGCTAGCCGGGTTAGCAGCAGCGGCATTAGCGGTCATTACAGGTTATAAGCAAGTTCCCTTGGATACAGTTTCCTCATATGACAACTGAAATGGAGAACAAACGGAAAGGTGGAATTGATTAAAGTCATAATATTTTCTCTTTCTTCATATTCGTTTTGCATAATGACAGCAAAGTGTCTTGACATCGACAGTAACAGACATCGGTTTTGGTGGCTAGACGTTAAATATTTTAATAAACAACCAGTAAGTAGTGAAATCAGAAGGCTTGGTTGGACATTTGATTGTCCGAACACACTAGATTTAAAAAAAAAAGAATGGTCCTTAGTATTTTTTATATTTTTTTGATGTATATGGTATGTTACCATAATTTGACAGATATTGATAATAAAGGCCACATTTGGCTGTAATCTTTGTCTAGCAGAATAATAATTAAAAAAATCTGAAAGATTCATTTTAATGACGCAAGAATACAAAACGTTCTGTCATAAATGTGAGGTCCTTGAATTTCAGAACATGTCTGTTGTTCAGTGATGTAGGCACTCTTTTATATCCGATTACATAAAGAAGGATCCAAAAGTCTGAGACCACAATGAAAATATAGATTTTTCTTTAATTCTTCCTGGAAGTAAACAGTTTTTCAAAACAAAGAAATTAAGGAAAAGTAGATATATTTATTTTATAAGTCTATATGTATATGTCGCATTTGTTAAAAAACAAAAATAAAAATTGACCTCATAATGTAATCAAAATGTCATACCTGGATCATCGCTCTGGTCACGTATGCCAGACTTCTCCAATCATTTAATCCACTTAAACCCTGCCCCTCTACAATTGACTTAAATCTTGTATTAATTTTTGAGTGCAATGCAACATGTCTTAAAATCCAACTAACAACAGATGGTTAGAACCTAGTTCAGTCCTTTTTTTTTTACACAAATATCTGTTCCTATTTCCTGTGTTTCTAAAATATCTTACATCTTACGCTTGCGCACACACTGCAGTAAAGTCGGCTCAAATTATGAAACATGTTTGAAGCCAAAATAGTCTGTTTACATCATACACTACATGATTTTCTGGGAAATCTGTCAACTCACACTGCAGACCGACTTTCTTCACCTAGGTTCGACTCCACCTGACTCTAAATCAGGGGGGAAAATATGTGCAAAAGTTGTGTAGTGTATTCCAGATTTGAGTAATATGTACTGCCACTCAACCAGAGTCTGTTGGATACATACATTGCTGTTGTTTTTTGTTCACAGTCTCCCTCTGATTCTCTTCTGGGAGTGCTCTCACTTGAAACGCCGCCAAGATAGCTGGACCGGGCAGGAAACGGCACAGCTCAGATCCAGACCCCTGTGGAAGCAGCTCCGGCAGTGGGAGCGAGGTAGGAGACGGCCGACCCATTAGCGGCAAGTGGCTGAAGATGGCCAGCAGCAGTACAGGACCCAGTGAATCGGGCCGGAGGCGAGGTCAGAGAGGACCTGACGATGTGGTCAGCACCAGTAAGAAGAAGCAGAAGGACAGAGCTAACCAGGAGAGCAAGGAGGCCAAGCGGGCCACCTCAGCCACCAGCTCAGTGACTAGAAAAGGTGAGGAGGGGTCATAGTTTGTAAACACTCATGAAGTAGGTCTGAATTGCTTTTACTTATTCAGGTTCTTTACCCCAATTCATTTTATCTCTTATCTTTTTGATTGTCGTTTCGCTTTGTCTCCCGCCAGGTGTTACTCTTGGAAATCAAGATGTTGAGATCTAGACAGATATTTGATTCATATTCTTGGGGCAAAAGTATAGTGTGGGATAAAACGTTTACTGCAGTGATATCTAATGTAATATGAACTGATATAAAGCGTCTGTGGTGCAGTGTCCTTTTGACTGTTATAAAATGCAGTCTGGCCCATTACTTGAGGTTAAAGTCATTAAAGGTATGGCATAGTCCTTGTCCTATTTTCATGTGCAGAGCTGGACTGGTTTCCAATCTTTTACGTAGTGCGGTAAACGGGGAACTGGAAAGTTAACAGACATTAACTGTGTGACACAAACTGAACTTGTGTAGTTGTTCTGCAATGCTAGTCAGTATTGATTTAGCTATGGCACTGCACTGCGTCCTTAGCTTGTCTAATGAAATGGTTGTTGTGTGGCATTAGAAGCTGGTTTTGGTTGGTACGTGGTGAATCCAGTTTCATTTATTTCTGATAATCATCTTTTGGTAATTATCTTTGAACAAAACAAAGAGGTAATGAAAGTAAAACTGCAACAATAAGGGGATATTGAATAGGGATGGGTGATATCTTATCGTTTGCGATATACCGGTAAAAATCCCCCACACGATTAGAATTCGTCTTCCCGTGATACTAACAATAAAGTCTAGTTGTTGACATATTTCTGTGTACGACTGTCTGGGGTGACGTGAAATTGAGCAGCTCCTTCTACAATCTGGAGCAGGTTTGGATAGGGCTGTACAGAGACAACAATCGGTCTGAGCCTTGAGTAAATGTACTACAGTAGCACGTGTGCGACACAGTTTTACATGTGTATGAGTCGTTTACAGACCTGTTGTCCAACAAAGATATTTTAATTTATTGACATGCTTTTTCTCCATATTAACTTCATAACATAGTCGAGTGTTTGAAATAACTTATTTTTGTGATCAGACGTGGTTTTGTATCACAGAATAAGGCAGAAATCATACTATTTTATAGCATTATATACAGTGATAAAGACTATGTCGATTAGCATTGCATTATAAATATACTTTATCCTTATAAAAAATACCCAAGATTGCTTGAAGAACACAGATACCATATATTTTGTGCAATCGCATGTTTATTGTCTTCAGGTTTCCTAAGTTAAAATTTCTTTATCTGCGTTTTATTCAGCTACATCGATCACTGGATACTTCTTCCTGGAGCATTACTTCTAGTATGCATATGTGGAGTTTCTGCGCAAGGGTGCCCTCCTGCTTCCAGTATGAATTAAACAGTCATTACATTACGTGTGTACTCAGTAATGCCCACAACACCCTATTTTGGGCAAAAATAGGAAAAAACTGGATTCCCTAAATTATCGTCATTGATATCGTTATCGCAATAAATATCAGAAATTACCGTGATATATTTTAAAGCCCATATCGCCCATCCCTAATTTTGAATCATATATATATATTTTTTTTTTTTTTACAGATATGTATATTTTGTTTTACTTTTGATAGTTGCTGTCAGCTGTGTTAAAGGGATTGTTCACCTAAAAATCTAAATTCTGTCATTTACTGCGCTTCATGAAAGTCAGTGGCTACCATCGACTGTTTGGTTACCATCATTCTTCAAAGTATCTTTTTGGTGCTTGAGGTAAAAAAAAGAAACTCATACAGGTTTGGAATGACATGAGGGTGTGTAAATGATGACAGAATTTTCATTTTTGTGGGAACTATCCCTTTAAATAAGCCTTATTTTACCTGTTGACTTTTATGTAGGACCATAAGTATTGTTTGTTTGATTAGTGGTGGCTTTTTAATCATCTAATGTTATCATGGACTTCACATTCATGGATAATCTTAGCATCTTAGCTAGGGATGCAACGAAATTTCAGCCACCAAAAATTATGGCATTTTTGTTTTTTGTCTGAAAGAGAAAAATGGCCAAAAATGTATGGCACACCTTCCAGCAGTGTTCAGTGCGCAGGTTTCACTTTCCCTCTAGCCGTCGTCAATGCGTGGTGTGACGCTCCGCTCTATGAATGTGTGTTCCGTTGAGTTGCTCACTGCTCATGTGAACGCTCCACTCGTGTACCGCTCATGCTCACCAGAAAAGCAAAGTCCGCTCAAATAACGCGCAGACAGGAGATTTCTATGTAGTAGCTATACTTGCATACATGGCAACGCTGGTAAAATGACGCTACCGTCTCTTGACACTATGCTCTGCTCACATGCTCTGATAATAATAACTTTGCAGGACTATAAATTATTTTAATAATGAAAAAAAAATTCAGTTAAATCTGATTCTGTTGCATAGAACTGAATAAAAATAATATATTGATATTTAATATGAAATATATTTTCTGTCCAATTGTATTGTTTTACTTTCAATAAATGTGTGGTTATTTTATTGGCTTTTTATTTTTTCAGTATCATTAAAATGATTGAGTTAAATTAAAAGTTTTAATTTAAGTTTTACAAAATTATTTAATAAAATGATAAAGAATTATTAAAAAGCATTTTCGCTTTCGGATTTTGGCCAAGTGCATCCAGAATTTTTGGTTTCGGTTTCAGCCAACTTCAACTTCTTAGACTTAGTTGAATATACTTAAGTTGACCAGTCTAGAGAGAGATGGATATTGCTTTATGACAGATACAGATTATTTTTGTTTTACTTTCAGATAACTGATATGCAGAACCATTTTTAAGTTTTTATTTTTATTTCTGCTTTCAACTTCACAATTAAATTAGGCATAAGAGAGTCAGCTTTATTCGCCAAGTGTTTGGAATTTGTTGGAATTTTTTTATTCTTTTTTTATTTTTTTAGGAGCTCTTGGTACAAACATACATACATGCATATATGACATTGAGAACAGAAATAATATTTAAATAAATAAGACTAAGAAAAACAAAACAAAAAATAAATTGCCGCTTACGTTGCGTCTTCCGCCTATGCCTACGTCATACACTCGAGCGCCTTGTCGTGAACGCACCTGCTTGAGCGACCGGAAGCTAGAGATTACAGTTTATACATTTTTTAAAATCTGTATTTTTCTTACACTAACGCATCGTTTCACTTCAGAAGGCCTTTATTAACACCCCGGAGCCGTGTGGAGTATTTTTATGATGGATGGATGCAGTTTTTTAGGCTTCAAAAACGGGGGCACCATTTACTGCCATTATACAGTTTGGAAGACCCAGGACATTTTTAAATATAGCTGCAATTGTGTTCGTCTAAAAGAGGAATGTCAGATATGCCTAGGATGCCCTGAGGGTGAGTAAATCATGGGCTAATTTTCATTTTTGGGTGAACTATCCCTTCACAGAACCAAAAGAAGGCTAATTCTAAACACTGCCACTGATGTTGTCTGGCAGTGTTTTCAGTTTACAATTACAGATGATGTTTGAGACACGTTACTACTGACTGTTGGCAAGTGTGCATGAGTGTTTTGTTTGTTTAGTCCCCCTGTGCCAGTCTGTGTCTAGGGCTGTGCCCTTTCTGCTGAGTGTGTTTTGCCTCTGCAGTGCTGTGCTGAGTGCCAAAGTGTTGTAATCTAAGCCTGTGAGTCTCTGCTTCAGTGAAGAAGGGCTTTGTCAAGGTCAGTGGAGTGGCTCTGCCCAGCACATGCATGAGAAGATTTCCCTCAGAGTATTCCTCACACTCCCTTCATTTACTCGCTGCCCTCATTGCCGTCTCTACATGCATTTGATATAGGTGTGCCATTGTCTTCCTCTTGTCGAGGTGTCGTGTTTCATCTCGGCAAGACGGGAAGGCAGAGCACCATCCCTAAATGAACAGCCGGAGAAGCCTATCTCTGTAGTGCTGATGAAGGGGGGCTCATGGGATACTGGCAGATGACATCACGTGGAATAGAAGCCCAGCTGTGGGGCGTGGCGGCTTTTTGATGACCTTTTAGATCTGTGTGTCTCAGCAAGAGAGAGAGTAACGGGACGGGACTAGCTGTCACTTGACCCTGAAGCCTGATCCTTAGAGATAAACACGCTCTCTTTCTCGCTCTTTCCTGCTCACTCTGACCTGTTCGCTAACATGCACCAAAGTTAAACTCCGTAACAGAGCAGTTTGAAATCAAAGGGAGTCTGGCTTTCTACTATGACTGGCTATCAGACTGTGTAGCATTATCATGAAATCAGGTTTGATTTTGCTTTATTAGTTTGTAGTAATCCTTTGTCTATTATCTGTACATAAATGTTCTTTTGTTTTCCCTGTTCTATGTTCTAATGTTCTTTGCTTATGGAATAATACATTTAATTACAGTCAGTGTTATTAGGTAATTTGTTTCCGATCGATCCAGCCTACATGAATGTTCTTTTGTTTGTGTAGATTTGTTTGTGGACTGGAAGCAGAATGTGTACGAGGTGATAGTGAGGCTGAACTGTGAAGATGCTGGGGTGCTGAGAGTGGAAGATATCGATTATGCCTTTTCCGATTCCGCCTGCCACATCCGTCTGCCGGGTAAGGACATTATGTGTGCTTGTGTCTGATTTGGTCCATGTTGATCTTTTTTGTCAGTGTTGAATGTACACTATTGTTCAATTTATTTCTGATGGATTATGAATCAGTTAAATCTGAAAAAATAATATATTGATATTTAATATGAATATATTTTCTGTCCAATTTTATTGTTTTACTTTCAATAAACGTGTGGTTATTTTATTGGCTTGTATTTTTTCAGTATCATTAAAATTATTGAGTTAAATTAAAAAGTTTTACAAAATTATTTTATATTATTTAATAAAATAATAAAGAATTATTAAAAAGCATTTTCGCTTTCGGATTTTGGCCAAGTGCATCCAGAATTTTTGGTTTCGGTTTCGGCCGACTTCAACTTAGACTTAGTTGAATATACTTAAGTTGACCAGTCTAGAGAGAGATGGATATTGCTTTATGACAGATACAGAATATTGATATTTGACAATATTACTGTTCTTACTGTGTTTTTGATCAAATAATTGCAGCAATGGTGAGCAAATGAGTCATCTTTCAAAGATATAAAAAAATCTTAAAGGGGTCCTATTATGCTCTTTTACAAAGTTTTGATTTTGTTTTGGGTGTACTAGAACAGGCTCTCATACTAGGTTGTTCGAAAAACATTATTTTTCACATATTTTACATTATTACAACACCTCTCTCCCCAGTCTGGCATGAACGGCTCAAATAGTTCCTGTATCAAATGAAGACCCACCTTCTGAAATACGAAATGTGCTGTGATTGGTTAGCTGGGCCAGTGTGTGTTGTGATTGGCAGCACTCGGCGCCTGGTCGGGAAATGTCGTGCCCCATACCATAACCACCTGCCAGCTTCAGTGTAAATATTGCATTAAAATCAAATCAATTTGAGCGCGATTTAAACCCGGATGATTGTAACCACTCTAAGTTTGTCTGCCTTGGGAAAGCTAGTGTGTCTCCGACATAGTGATAACACTCGTTGCCTTCTCTAGTGCAGTTCAACCAGGTCTCGTCCCATTCCTCGATATTTGTGATCTTACAGATCCCGGAAAATATGCGTTGTAGTCCAAACGAGTCGTTCGTTGTAGTTTTTGAAAAGTGATTTCTGTTAAATAAAATATCTCCTTTTGAAGTGGACTTTGAACTTTGTAACTTTGCAGATCTTTTTTATGCTCAAACAGCAACATTACAGACTAACTAAAGTTGAAAAAGTGAAAAAGCATAATAGGACCACTTTAATGATCCCAAACTTTTTAAAAGTAGTTTTTATACTGTGATTTTTTTTTCTTCCTCAGATGGCCGTGAATGGAGCTGTCATCTCCATGAAGAGATTGAAGCCTCATGCAGTAAACTGCTTTATAAGGAGAAAATAAAAGTTCTGCAGCTTGTCATGCACAAGAAGATCCCCCTCAACACATGGCCCACCTTTGCTGTAAGAACACAGACGTTCTTTTTGCATTTTTATTTTGTGCAATTACTAAAAATGTAATTACTAAAAAGATTGGTTTATTTAGACATATTTTTGCAAAAAATATATCTCATATATTATATATTGAATGTTATATATCAAATATTAAATCATACATGTTATATCATCATATTGGTCTGTGATTTTGTTATTTGTTTTTTTAAAAGTTTTTAGTAATCATACTGGTCTGTAAAGATCAATAAAGAACAATATCAGATCTGTATGGCCAAGCACATATGCAGCTTTGAGCATTCTGGTCACAGATCAAAATGTAGCTTTGAGTTTTCCTGGTCAGAGATCCCTCAACCAAGCTTTATTTATTTATGTTCCCCATTAAACAGAACAAGAAAAAGACGGAAAAGGTAAACATCCTTAGAGAGAATGGCAGCAACCACCACCAGTCAACCACAGGGCAGTCTGAAAAATCTGGCGAAATCATTGAGAAAATGCCCACAGTGACCACTGCTGAGCAGAAACGAGGTAAACCTGACCGAGGGTTAAAGCGAGGGATGAAAGGCAAACAGGTGGAGCTCACTGAGAGCACAGGTGTGAAGGTAGCTGAGATTAAATCAAATGATAAAGCAGACCCGATCAATGAGCCCAGCACAAAGCGCACCACACGACCATCCAGAAACACAAAGGAGCCCCAACTAGCTCCCTGCTCGACAAAAGAGTCTCAGTCCAAACAAGCAGTTAATGGAAAAACCCATTCGTTAGCTGTGAGCAGTGGTGCCTCTTCAGCTAGTAATTCAAAAGATAACAGGGTTCAGATGCAGGTCAAAGGTCAAGGATGCCAGGCATCACCAAGAGAAAAAGAGATGGACAGGAGGCCAAAAAGCAACGATCAGGTGAGACTAATAATTCACTTGAAAGTGAAAACAATCAGCAGGAAAGGGAATGGTGGAAATGAGTCTCACATCCTGTTGTCCATCCTTTGTGTTGTTTACAGGTTGAGGAAAATGAAAGTAAGACTGTTTCCTCAGTGTGTGAGCTGAAGGTGGCACAACAGGAGAGTTCTCCTCTAGTGAAAATGCACACTGGGAACATAGCAGCTGATGAGAGAGAAAACAGAAAAGATGAAAAGAAGCCACAGGTTGATGCCCAGATCCCTAAAATGCTTCCATCTCCTGATTTGGTATCTGGAGCGCCTGTTTCAACAGCCTCTAAGAGAGAGGAGTCCCCTCAAAAGAGCTGCACAGAGGAGAAGAAAGACAAGTCCAAGGAGGATCCACATGGAGGGAGCCAAGAGGAGGATACTGAAGGTCAGTTAAGAACAATTGTTGCAGCATGTTGTTCAGTCAGAGCACAACATTAGAGTATAAAGTACAGTTAAAAAGTTTGGGGTTGGTAAGGTTTTGTTTTTCTTTCTTTCACATTAATTTGATAAAGTGACTTCACTCTCCGTCAAGCGATCTGTGCTATTTTTTTTGTTAATCTCAATGGATGCGTATTGTACCTGTATTTGACATTCCGGAAACTCTAGTGTGAAGGCGCATGACTTGCCGTTGCTTTGCTGAGAGCACTGTTTTTCACACACATGCAAAGAAAGAAAGAGAGAGAGTGAGCGAGAGAGTCTTTTACATACCATGCAGAATTGACACGCTACATGAAAAAGTTATTCTGTGTTGTCTGTCCTGTCAAAATAACATTGGAATTCTTCAGCTTTTAAGAACAATCATAAGATACTGCCGGTTTCTCCAGTAGTGGGTGGAATTAATGCGCAGATGGCAATCTCATTGGCTGACGCTCATCTATTAGATGCTTCATTGATCCTTTACAGGAAATTACTTTTTCACTGCAGCTTTAACGCACAAAAAACACAACACCACACATAACAAACAAGTCATTTCCAACTCAACAGATCTACAATATAAAAATTAGAAAGAAATATTATATAACAATTAACAAGAAAATAAAATGCATATAATAACATGTGCAAAACTAAACTGTACTTGGTCTTTACTATATATACAGTACCAATAATTCTTGTTGTTATCATAACACATTAACCAATCTGATAGCTAAGAAAGGACTTTCTGCCGCGCTCAGACTTGCACTTTGGTGTGATCAGCCTGTGACTGAAGGTGCTGTTGATCACCCCCATGGTGTGGAGTGGATGTGAGGGATTGTTCATTATCGATCTCAGCTTCAAGAGCTTGTTGACTAATGTTTAGTCGACTATTAGGGGGCAGCCCTAGTTTACTATACTTTATTTCTCATGATTGATTTGTGTTAAGGTCCGGAGCCGATGGTGAACTTGAAGTTTGTGAAGAATGACTCTTATGAGAAAGGGATAGACCTGATGGTTGTTAATGTCTACATGAAAGAAATCTGCCGGCAGACGTCCAGGGTGTTGTTCAGGGAACAAGACTTCACTCTTGTCTTCCAGAGCAGGTGAGAGAGTCATCGACACACAGTGTCCAGAATAAAGATTTCAACTCTAACATTTACACTAATTGTTGAAACTATTCACAGTGATCCCAACTTTTTGCGCCTTCATCCGGATTGTGGACCAAACACTGTCTTTAAATGGCAGGTTAAACTCAGGTAAGATTTTCTGATGGGCATCCTAATCTCCATCGATCCACTGGTCAAGTGTATGTTTCTGAGGGTTTGTTCATTGGTCCCGTCTGCTGATGTTTCAGGAATCTAATTCAGCCAGATCAGTCCAGCTATGCCTTCACACCGTCCCGTATCGACATCACCCTGAAGAAAAGACACAGTCAGCGCTGGGGAGGTCTGGAGGCACCTGCCACACAAGGTCTGTTGCCTGGATTCTATTTGCTTCTGAGCAATCTTTTACAAGCAAACACACATTATTTTGTCTACATTTATGATACTATATAGCATTAGCTGCATGAGCAGTGTGTCCATGGCTAAGGTTTGGCTGGATAAGAACAGCTAGACCCTTGATCTATTCAGAGAGCTCTGACGTGTGATAGGAAGCATACATGAGATGATTACTGTGGAAAAAGCAGGACTGTTTTTGTTTACATGTTGAAATGAGGGCATGGTCGAGAAGAGGAATGTGACTTCAGGGAGTGATCCAGTAACTCAATACGAGTGTGAGACAGGGTCAAGCCAAATGTGCCTATGTGTTTTTGTTAGGGATGCTCATATTGACCGATTAACCGTTAACCGAAAGTAAGAAATTTGACCGATTAATTCTATCCGTTAAACATTTTAAAAGTATTTTTTTTTTACGTTTGCTGCATTATTAAAGAAAAATATTCTATAGATATTTATTAATTCAAGGTGGTGTGTTGATACGTGCAGCCACACGTGCCTACATATTTTGCTGCATGCACCTCCACTTTCACTTACCTGAATTAGTAAAGGCAACACAATGGAAAAAGGCAATATTAAATAAATGGTTATCAGAGAGTGAATCCGTGGGTGAATGTATTCAAGTTCTGAATGGGTTATATCCTAGAAAGCGTGCAAAAGGGTGTTCCCCCTTATAATCATTAAAAAGCTGTCACTCGTCTCTTCGTTCTTCACAATCTCACCGTTCCGTTATAATCAAGTCAAGTCACCTTTATTTGTATAGCGCTTTATACAATACTCGTTGTGTCAAAGCAGCTTTATAGTGTTAAACTTTTGTCAATTAAGATCTAGACTACTGCACAATTAATCTCTTCTTTACATCGTGTGTACCTCTGATTGGCCATTGTGTTCATGAAATCAACAGATATGTCTGTGATTGACTACAATGCTCAATGCTGCAGAAACCGGTGTTTTCTGCCACAGAACAGGCTCCACTCCAGACTAGGGATGCACGATAAGATCACGTCAGCAGTGTTGTCATTCTTGAAGCAAACTTTTTCCTGAATGATGATTAGATTCACTGTTTTAGATCGCCACATTTAATCAGAGAATGCAGATAAAGAATGGCGTGTTTGTTGTGCAATAGTCAACAGTTACTAGTGCGTGCAGTTATCGCAGCAGCAGCCTCCCTCCGGGCCTTAAGGCCCGTCTGTTTTATTTACTTAGGGGGCGCTGTTGGCCTACTTGTAATAAAATTAGTGCCCTATGATTTCCGCTATTCTGAAAACGCAGACAGAATAGCAGAATCCTGTCATAAAAATGGAATTTACTGTATAACGTGGAATGTCACGGAATTGGACAAATTTTGGATTAATAAATCAAAAGTAGGTCAGTGCACTTAAATCAAAGCGCGATATGAACTAGTGTCTGTGAATATTAAGCCACAAAAATATGATTTAAATATGAATCCTGCATGTTCTGCGTGTCTCTGTATGAATGAATGGCGCAGAGGCGCGGTTTCATTTACTACACACATACTGAAGCACATCATCATATCATATACAAATAGAAACTTAAAGGTCTTCACAGCAACCCATCAAAATAAAAGTTTGTTTTAACTTGAAGAAACTGTGACAAATATATTACTTAATATAATGATTGTAGTACTACTGCTACTACAAATAAAAGTATTATTAAAACATTATTTTTAAGGAATAATCACAATTTTTCTTCAATATTTTAATTTTAACCATCACTTTGTTTGCCTAAAAGAAAGGGTTTGTTTAATTTTCATTTGATTAAAAAATGTATTAATGTTTTATGCCTTAATTTATTTACCAAAAAAAATTAAATACACAGCACAGTATTTAAAAAAATAAACTAAATAAATAAAATAATAAATATATTTTTTATAAAATCAGTTAATTACAGGTGCTTTTATTAAAATTTAATTAAACCATTAAAATAGAATCCAGAAAATTAAAATGGAAAACACAGAATGTGGGAAATTTTTATTTTTTATTTTTCGTTATTTATAATGTTTTTAAATTGTGTAAATTTCATGATTTCAATTATACATATATATTTAATACAATTTAATTTAACCGTTAAAACAAAGTCCAGAAAAATTTTAATTGAATTTGGGAAAAAATATGGAATATGGGAAAAAATAAAACTATAATTAAATAATTTCTTAGGGCCCTATAAAATGAAAGTAAAATAATACACAAATAACATTAATATTGTGTTTATGATTAAATAAAGCAGTAATTAATAAGTCATGAGTATGTTTTGATTTAAAGGTCAGACGCTGTAGCTTACTTGAATAAAAATCACAAATTTGACGCTTAAAATTAAATAATTTTATATATACTTAATAGTTTTATTCATTAATGTGTAATATGTTTTTTTTTCCCCCAAACGGATTATGAAAACTTAAATACAAGGAGCTCTAAAAGATTTTCAGATTTTTTTACAACTACTTTGCTTTAGACCATCTACAAATGTTGAATAATTTACAAATGTTACCACTGCATCTGTTTGGGAAAAAAAAGTGATTTGATTTATAGTTATTTTCAAAGCTTTCAATGTACTCTCAATATTAAAGAACTTAATTATTGTTTATTTAATTCTAATAAGTAAGTTTTTGTTAGAAACTAACCAAAATTAAAAATAATTTGTTTAAAATCTCTGCACAGAAGAGACTTGGTGTTGTTAACAAACAAAAGGAAATATATCGGTATCGGCATCGATTATCGGCCAAAATGAGTTGAAAAATAATGGCATATCAGATAAAGCAAAAATCCAATATCGTGCATCCCTACTCCAGACTATGCCCCACAGCAATTTTTAAAAAAAATAAAAGGTACACAAGTTGTGTTCTGAGGTAGACTTGCTATTTAGTTTTATCCCTGATGGAAAAACATGCGGTTCTTCAAATAGCGTATAAGGATTCAATGTGTGTTTTCGTTTTGTCATCTTAATTTGTTAATTATTTAAGTGAAAAATATTTAGTGTAGACCTATTTATTTTATTCTTTTTATTTATATTATTTTATTCTGTTTTTCTTTGTTCTCAGAAGTGCTGCAGGTGCGTGATAATTCAGATGCAGGTGCGTGATAATTCAGATATGTGTGAATTCAGGTTCTGTTGTTGCTGTATTGTTCTGTATCCTGCTGTTTGCACATGTTAAAATAACCCAGTCGGAAAGAAAAAAAAAAATATATATATACATATAATTTTTATTTTATTTTTTATTGTTTTAATGAGTCACAGACACTCGTCCATTCAATTATTTATTTAATACTAATTTAATGTTCTTATCTTATCAGTTAAAGGTTAATTTTCGGATAACGAGCGGCGGTTGTCAGTCGGGAAAATTAACTGAAATGAGCATCCCTAGTTCTTGTGTTGGTGCCAGGCTGCTGACCCACACTGCTCTACATAGCCTTCTCCCAAATATAGCTGCCACTCCAACATTGCATTTTACTAGAGCTGTGACGATCTGTTTATATATTGATATTGATGTTTATATATTGAATTGCCACTTTAGATCCTTAGTTCAAAATGTATTTGTTTATATTGATGAAACCTTATGAGAGAGAATGGCATCATCCCGCAAATTGATTCAACACATTTTGTTCAGATTCAGGTCTGATAAATTCAGAAAGAGTTTCAATATAGTGATGTGTCCCAAATTAATAGTATCATGATTGTTCAGTTATGGTTATGTTAATTCACATCATATACACTTACACTCCTGTTTAAAAGGTCACACGCAAGTTTGTTGGTCTCTACAACGCAATGGCTAATCGGAAGTGTTTAAGTTAGAATCAAGTAGGGCTGGACGATATGGTCAAAATTTATATCACGATATATTTCTTAATTTCGGTCGATACGATATAATTCCGATATCGATATGAACACTATTAAAAAAGCCTCATAAAAAATGGCCAAGAACGGCCACAACAGATGTCTGTACCTACAAACTTATGAAAAATTAATATGCCAACTCTATGAAACCTACTCCTATAAAACTATATAATATTTTTGGGAAAAAATGGCACAAATAAATAAATGTTCACCTTTTATTGGTATTTAGCCTTCATACAAACAAGAAATGTGAAATCACTGTCAAATAAATCTCAGACTCTCCTTATTAATATTAATATTTTTTACTTCAAACTATAGGCTAACATACCAGTCAAAAGTTTTTGAACAGTAAGATTTTTAATGTTTTTTAAAGAATTCTCTTCTGCTCACCAAGCCTGCATTTATTTGATTCATTAACAACGACACGACATAAGAGATTCATTATGCAGTGTAGACAACTTTATTGATTTTAATGGAATGTTGTGAGATCGAGAAATGAGATGAGTGACAGCATTCTAGAAATTGCAAAGTGAGTGGATAAAAGTATAAATTAATTGAATAAAAGTATTGTTTTTCATGCTATCAAGAGGACCGACGGCCAGTTACACGTTGCATAGTTTTGGAAATCACATCTACATATAATTGTGTGATTCACTCCTGAAAATGCAATCGACAGTGATACTAGCACGGGACAAGAATATGGCATGTCAAAATTGATGCCAACAATGTAAATGCAGACTAATAGATTACAAAAAAATAAAAAATTGTAGCAATATATATTTTTTTTAATTCCATTACAAATATATCTAAAAATAATGATTTGTTGTAAATAATCTTAAATGTCTCATTGTACATTGCTATTTTTGTTATGGTGGAGCCATTGCTTATATATTACATCTGCACTTTACTAGAGTAAAGTCCATCTGATTAGTAAAATTAAAATGTATGACCCCGCAAATCCATTAATTACAACAACTGCATACAACAAATGAATTGTGATTTTTATCGTATCATTTTGTTTATGATGCATAAAATTCAGTTTTTTAACAGTGAAAAGTAATATACAGACAGTGATGCATGTGCAACATGTGCATAGTTTTGATCTACTTAAAGGGTTAGTTCACCCAAAAATGAAAATTGGCTTGTGTTTTACTCACCTTCGAAGCATCCTAGGTGTATATGACTTTCTTCTTTCAGACGAATCCAGTCGTAGTTATATTAAAAATTGTCCTGGCTATTCCAAGCTCTATCATTGCAGTCAGCGGGTGTTGCAGTTGAACAGTCCACAAGTCCTTCTGTAGTGAAACATGAGCCAGTTTTCATTTTTGGGTGAACTAACCCTTTAATATAACGTTTTAATCATAATATGGTTAGTTTCTATTAATATTGAAAAACGTTGAAAACCCCTGCATTAAATGTATCAAAAGTGATTGTAAAGACATTTATAATGGTGCTAAAAGATAATAAATGCTGATCTTTTGAATTTCTGTTCGTTAAGGGATCCTGAAAAATATATATCACAGTTTCCACAAAAATATTAATATTAGAATCAACATATTAGACTGATTTCTGAAGGATCATGTGACACTGAAGACTGGAGTAATAGCTACTTAAAATTCAGCTTTGCATCACAGAATAAATTACATTTTAAAATGTATTAAAATGGAAATCATTTATTTTAAATTGTAATATGTGACCCTGGACCACAAAACCAGTCATAAGGGTCTGTTTTTTGAAATTGAGATTTATACATCACCGGAAAGCTGAATAAATAAGCGTTCCATTGATGTATGTTTTGTTATAGGACAATATTTGGTCGAGATACAACTATTTGAAAATCTGGAATATGAGGGTGCCAAAAAATAAAAAATATTGAGAAAATCGCCTTTAAAGTTGTCCAAATGAAGTTCTTAGCAATGCATATTACTAATCAAAAATGAAGTTTTGATATATTTACGGTAGGAAATTTTCAAAATATCTTCATGGAACATGATCTTTACTTAATATCCTAATGATTTTTGGCATAAAAGAAAAATCTATAATTTTGACCCTTAATGTTTTGAACCAAAACATTGGTTTTGTTGGCTATTGCTAAAAATATACCCAAGCGACTTAAGACTGGTTATTTACATATAATTTTTTTTTTGAGTTTTCAACATCATTACGCCAGTCTTCAGTGTGACATGATTATTCAGAAACTATTCTAATATGCTGATTTGCTGCTTAACAAACATTTCTTATTATCAGTGTTGAAAACAGTTGTGCTGGATAATTTTTGTGGATTTGATTTTTGTGGAAACTGATACTTTTTTTCAGGATTCTTTGAATAGAACATTCAAACACCATCATTTATTTAGAATATAAATCGTTTGTAACATTATAAATGTCTTTACTGTCACTTTTGATCAATTTAATGCATCCTTGCTGAATAGAAGAAGCATCAGTTTCTTAAAAAAAAATCTTACCGACCCGAAACGTTTGAACAGTAGTGTATGTGTAATGTGTAAAAACTGGCAAAAGTTTCCTTCATGTCTGATGACAATTTGAATTAGGGATGTCAATTTTCGATCATTTCCATGATGATGAAAAACCCCGCTTTCTCACCTGATTTAAAGGGGATTTAGTCTGAATAAAATGCTAGTAATTTAGCAGGATTGTAAAATGAATAGATGGAATTATGATCATTTGATAAAATGAAGAGAGCTTGTTTGAGAGAATTTTACTTTGTTGACTGTTTCCTATCCCGTAATGGAGACCGCTGAACGAGCCTCTTTAAATGGTTTCGTGGTGCTCGTTATTGTATTTTAAAACACAATTGCAATGTTTTCAAGTGACATTATGGCATTTAAAATAAAATTATCCCAAACGTAACTGGCGCGTGTGGCTGTGCTGCGCAGTCAGTGAACCGCTTCCATCGGCGCTGCTGCAGCAAAACACACTGTTGCTCACATGAAACATTATTATGTGAGTATTATGTCCAGTACTTAATTTGATCCTGCTGGATCCTGTTCGGGAAAATGTCTTTGCGGTAGGCCTATTTGTTTTTAAATATCCGGCATTTACAGTGCATTAGATCGTGACAGTGCATGCATGTGTGTACGAGGATGGAGCGAGTGCGGGTTTGGCTAGATGTTTGGAGGTTATTACTAGAGGTCGACCGATAGTGGATTTTGCTGATACCGATAGCGGGGTTGGACCACACTGGCCGATACCGATTAATTAAACGATTGTTTTAAAATTGATACTGAACAAAACCTAAAATAGTGCTTTATTAACAAAACCAGTACTGAACCAAACTAGTAGTAGTAATAATAAAAGTAATGGTAAATGTTGAAATTAACACTAACAAGGAACAATACTTACACAGCTTTCATTAATCTTAATGCTACAAATGGACTCTTATTTTAAAGTGATACCATTTCATTTCAACTGTCGTGCTTAAAGATGCACATCTTTAAATATATACACAAAGGCTATAGCATTAAAATTATATACATATGGATATTGTATGTATACTCTCGGACTTGAACTTCTATTCTTGAACACTTGATGATTATCTAATCAAAATAAATGCGCAGCGCTGAGTCTAGGAGAACTCACCGGTATCACACACAATAGCACGTGCTGTCAATTATTTCAACCACTAGAGGCCACTCTCGCACTGTATAATGACAGCAGACCCTTCTCAGCCGCTCAAGCAGTGGACGCAGGAACTATCGATAACCGATAGTTCCAGCAATCAACTATTGGTGCCGATTAATCGGCAAAACCGATACATCGGTCGACCTCTAGTTATTACTCATTCGGCACAAATCCAAATGTTTCCATATTCGTAATGTATTGGAATGTTAAACTATTATTTATAATGTAAACTAGGTTTGTACTTTACATGCATTCGCATGTAGACGGAAAAGATCGTCCTCTTCACATGAGCAAAAAAGTCCTTGGCATAACAGCAGGTCTATTTAAACTGACCAGTGTAACCTTTTATATGTTTGGTTGACTATTTTATTTTGATAATGAACAGACTGCGATGTAAGTTTGAATTGCTAGAATATGTGGGGTGTGTGCGCGTGAGGTGCCGAACAGCTGAAACATAAAAAAACTTGTTTATGGAGCGCCGCGCCACACTTCTGTTTTAAATCTGTTAGCTTAATTATTTAAGACAGATATATTTCGCTTTTTTTTTTTTTTTTTTTTTTAATAAAAAAAAGTTTTTTTTTTTAGGCCTTTTTTTTACATAGGTTAGTGGCATCACCGTTTAGTGACATCATTGAATGCTCCGGGAAAACGTAGTCAGTGTCGGTCACAGCGCCTTTTAATTGCTGTTTTGAATCCAGTAATTATTTATTTACAAATTATAAGCTCTGATTATGACAAGTGTGGTATAAAAGCTTTGTTTATTAGAGGAATATTTGGTTAGCTGGAAAATGCTAAATCGCGACCATGCTTTTGGATGCCGTTCGAGCCCATATAGCCTACATTTACACGGCTTTACTCTGGTTTGCCGGTTGGTCACGAATTTCCACAAATTCAATAATATTTAGGCATTGTTTCTTTTCCTAAGTTCTCACCGTCTAACCCTCTAATTTCGCAGGTTTATTTTATTGTCATTCACTTTTTATCACTGTTTTCGCATCTAAGGGAAATGAAAGATTTCATGGACATGAATTAAGAATTCGTTCGATGTATTAATTTGTTCCCTCATTTTAGTTAAATCATGGGTTATTTAAGGAACAAAATTAATGAAACATGGACAGTGGCCACACCAAAATTAAACAGCTTAATCGACCGTCGATAACTTTAATCGATTGCATCTCTTATAGACAATTAATCGATCATCGATTAATCGTTGACATCCCTAATTTGAATGAGTCAGTGATACAGGTATTGATGCTGAGCCAAGAGGTCCCTGCTTTAAATCTTCCATGTGTTTTGAAACGTTTATCACTTTTGATGGTGTTGGGGTAGATAATTATATTTTTCAGTATCTCTTAGCAATATGGTTGTTGGAGTTTTCTCATCTGTTTTTTTTTATTAAGGTTTCCATAACCTTTGACCCCTTCCTGTACTTGCCTGTCCCCCTACCTCAAAAGCAGAAGGTGTTGACTGTTTTCTATTTCGCTAAAGAGCCTCACAAGAAACCAGTCAAGGTACACAAACAACTTTCTGAAGTTCTTAAGTAAGCCTGTGTACAAAAGGCTCAGATTGTTCAACCTTATTTAGATGGATATTCTTTTTTTATAAATATTTGACCTAAACATTTTGCTTGTGTAGTTTTTGGTCAGTGTGAGTAAAGAGAACTCAAGCACGGCTGAAGTACTGGAGTCAATATCTCGCAGTGTGAGGATCAAACCAGAGAACCTGTGGCTGGCAGAGGTATGATGAGTCTGTTCTGAATATTAGTTTTGTCTTAATTATTTAGTTATAATTGCTGGAAGCCTCTTTCACAATTGAAAATAAAATTTGGTAAATCAACCAGATCTACTGATGTGTCTTGTGACGTTCATACATTTTTGTTCTTCATTATTAAATAGTGTTCCCTCAATATTTTCTCCCAGGTGGTGAAGAACAGGTTCCACAGAATCTTCTCACCGTCTCAATCTTTAGACACAGTCTCTTCCAGTGACCTGCTTTTCTGCTTTGAGGTGTTGTCTAAAGATCTTGCCAAAGAGAGAGTGGTGCTGCTGAAGGTCCAACAGGTACACCATTTTTGTCACTCTTCTTATTTTCCTAGGTTTTGTGGATTTTCTTGCTGTGATATAATGTATTGATTGTGTCTTTGTATTGATCTTCAGAGACCTCTGGTTCCAAGCATCCCAATTACAAAGTGCGCTGGCTGCATGAAGCCTCCTGCCTCTGACGACGAGAAGCTCAAGCGCTGTACTCGCTGTTACCGTGTTGGCTACTGTAATCAGTGAGTTTTCATCTATTCATTAAAATAGATGTGCTGTGCTGGCTCTGAGATTATGCTTGGGATTTAGAGACTTTGCCTTGGCTAGTTGGTGTTAAGTTTCTTTCCTCTGATTTCAGGGCCTGCCAGAAGAAGCACTGGCCCAATCACAAGACCACATGCCGGCCCAATGTGGAGAATATTGGACTGCCGTTTTTAATTAGTGTGCCTGAGTCTAGGCTGACTTACTCCCGCCTGACACAGCTTTTGGAAGGCTACTCTAGGTATGATTATCTCTTTGCCATGCATGTGATTTGTGGATTAATTGCAATATTTAACCATCATAAAGTGAAAGCTTATCATTTGTACTTGTACACATTCAAGTGATTTTAAACCATTCCAGCACAAGTAGAAGCAAAAGAGAACTAAATTCGGTTCGGATGTGTATTAATTGAATGAAAACAACTGAGAAAGAAATCGCATGTGTATAATTATATTGGATCTGTGCTTCAGGTCTTAAAGGGACAGCAGCCTATAAATACCTGCTGCTGTCGGTCATTAATGTTAATCAAACAACAAAACTGCTTTAACAAAGATTAATATATATTTAACTTATACAGTGAACACTGTGCACTGTACTTTATTAAATTGCTATACCTGAATGTTAGACCTTATTTTATTTGTAACTTATATTATATTTATCTATGCTTGTGTATTCTTTTTTTTGTTTGTTTTTTTTGTACTTAAAGTGTGCTTTAATAAATGGAAAGCAAAGTTACATTGATATACATTTTCTTTTTCTTGCTTTGTTTTATATTTTAGAAATTTTTATATACTTATTTACTAGCCTTATATTTTATAGCATTTTTATAGAATTTTATGTGTTTATTATAGTATTATTTTTATTTAAATTTACGTCAGTTTTGTATTTTATATACATACATTTATAACATTTAACAGCATTTTATTTATTGTTATTTATTATTTATTTTTTTGTCTGTGTAGTTATTACAGCATTTATTTATAAATTATTTATTTGTTTAGATTGGAATATTCTGACATAAAGTAAAATCTTTTGACTAGGAACGAGCAGCACTGTGTAAACCTTAATTTCTGTGTGCAGGTACTCTGTCAATGTGTTCCAGCCACCTTTCCAGTCCGGTCGGACGTCTCCAGAGGCCAGCCTGTCCCATGTTGACCTGGCCTCCTTGGCGAGCAACGTCTCAGAGTGTCAGGAGCAGGAGGAGGAACAGTCATCTGCAGGAGAAGCGGAAAACCAAGCGGAGCAGGGTGACTCTGTCACAGCCCCGCAAACTGAGACCGTGTCTGTGATCTCCGCAGCAGGTGGGGACACTCTCTCCGCACACACCAATGACTCGGGGTGCGGTGAGCTCGCCACCAGCTCCCAAAATTCTTTGGTGGAGAAAGAAACATCATGTGAAAAGGCTATAAAACCAGAAGGTACGTTGGTGTAAAAAATCTTCGCTATAGTCTTTGTTTGTTGTGGAGTAATATTCCATTGCTGTTTGTTCATTGGTAGCTGTAGTGACCGGGTATCAGCAGCCTTCTGAGTCAGCCACTGGAAGTGCGTCTCAATTCCACATCACAGTTCTGGACTCAAGCCAAAAGGAGGACAGAAAACTTGAGGACAAAGGTCAGTCAGAGGTTTTTGGATGGATATGTTTTATAAAATGCTTTCGTTGGAGCTGTGTATCTTTATCATCCTGGTGCCACCTACAGGTGATGTGATACTGGAGCTGCCTGATGACTGCACGCTGGAGCTGGTGTGGAAGAACAACGAGCGGCAGAAGGAATATGTGCTGGTCCGCTCTAAAGAGCTGGAGTTTGATGAGGACCCTGGCTCTGCTACAGAGACATCCAGGGCTGGACACTTCACTTTAGAGCAGTGCCTGAATCTCTTTACCAAACCTGAGGTGCTGGCCCCTGAAGAGGCATGGTACGGACAGACGTGTCAGTTTTTAAAGTGTGTTTAAATGACATAAATGTGACTGGCCCACATATATCTTCTCTTGTTGTGGTTCAGGTATTGTCCTAAGTGTCAGCAACACAGGGAAGCCTCTAAACAGCTGCTGCTTTGGCGTCTTCCCAACGTGCTTATCATCCAGCTCAAGCGCTTCTCTTTTAGGAGCTTCATATGGAGGGACAAGATTAATGATATGGTTGATTTCCCAGTCAGGTACACTGAACTATACTCTTGTCTCACTGGCGGTCACTAGCACAGGGGTTCAAAAGTTTGGCATCTGCCAGATTTATTTGAATGTTTTGAGAGAATGCATTTATTTGATCAAAAATATAGTAAAAACAGTAATGTTGTGAAATATTATTACAATTTAAAATAACTGTTTTCTATTTTAATATATGAAAATATATTACTCCAGTCTTCAGAAATCATTTTAATATGCTGATTTTGGAGTGTGAAAAGTAATATTTTTATGAAATCCATGATTGAATTTTTTTGTAAGAATCTTTGATGACTGGCAAGTTTAATATAACAATTTATTTGAAATAGAAATTTTCTATAACAAATGTCTTAAGGCCCAAGTATGCTTGTTTTTTTTACGCTAACGTATGCACACATTAGAATGTGCAGCCTTTCAAAGTATAGTCCATTTCAGGTGTACGCGAATGTAGGCAGTCGACACATGCACTCTAGAAAGATTCATCTTTGTCCAGCGTCTGCTCTATTTTTCTCTAAAAGTTATGACTGATAAAAATGTCTTTGTACTCTTTTAAACTAAAGTTTCTGCTATCTCATCACCCTTTCACACAAGCGCTTGTCAATGCGGTTGTCTGTTGTTGCAGTATCTGCTATTTTGTTGTTGTTGTTCGGTCTCTTTAGTTTTGTTTTCTACTGTGAAACAACAGCCCGGGCTAGTGTTGCCACCTTGTGGAACAACTGATTAGTGCTAAACCAAGTCCATTTTTGTCACTTTTATTAGTATTTAAGTTTTTATTTTATCTTTCTATGAAGTTCTTCCCTAGCTGTTGTCACCTATAGCTGACTTACTAGTTGCTTGGCTCTATTTCCTTGTAAAGCTGCTTTGTACTGTTATTTATTATGAAAAGTGTTATTCAAATAAATTATTCTAAGTATTCGAAATATTCTAAGAGTGGTTTGAAAAAAAGTTACACCGTTAATTTGATACAAAGTAAAAATAAAAAAATGACAAACCCTGTAATAACATTAATTCATTCTCAGTTGTTTGTGACACTACAAAAATAATCCTGATAGTTTAGGAGTTTAATAGCAGTATGAACTGTGAACTTGTCATTTGGCTGAATAGTTTTGTTTATTATCCATGTTTTGGCTTGCCCATATAATGGATGTTTTACCTAGATTTTTCTGTCTTCATCAGAAACCTGGATCTGAGTAAGTTTTGTATTGGTCATAAGGGTGACATCCAGCAGCCCCCCATCTATGATCTCTACGCTGTGATCAACCATTATGGCGGCATGATCGGAGGACACTACACGGCCTATGCACGTCTTCCCAGCGACAAGAACAGCCAGCGCAGCGACGTCGGTACGAGTGAGCTCTTCTAGATCAGTAACATCTCACCGGCTGTGATGTGAAACATCTCACTGTCTGGCATTTACTTTTACATTTACTTATTTCAGGCTGGCGTTTGTTTGATGACAGCACAGTGACAACGGTGGAAGAGAGTCAGGTGGTTACACGTTACGCCTATGTACTGTTCTACCGCCGCAGGAACTCTCCGGTAGAGAGGCCGTCTCACTTACTGGGGCCCCTTGGCGCCGAATCCTCTGCTGCAACCGGCGGTGCTGCCAGTCAGGTGAGCGCAGCACCTTCTCAAGTCACTGCAGCCCAATGGAAAGTTTAATCTTTAGTGGAGCAGCTATATACTTGTTCATTAAAGTTGCAAGGGATTGGGTAACATTCCTGGTAGATTCTCAAAATGGAAAAAAAGCCGTATTTCTCCATCGTTCATTTTTTAATGAGCCGTCTCTCAGAAATGCTCAGACAACATCAGCTGATTATAATTTAATTTGGCATTTTTATGAGAGATTATGTTCTCTCAGATGTTCTGGAGTATAATCACCTTGTGATATCTATCAGTCATGACTAATAGATGAATCACAAAGCATCAAGAGTATTGAGTCGATTTGATGAATATTAATGATTAAAAAAATGAGCTCTTTGTTCGTGACTTTTGTGAATCTCAAAAGGTGAAAATATACAGAAATGACATTTGCACCTTGGTTTCAACAATTTCTAACTAGTGCTGGGTATCGTTCAAAACATTTCGAAATCAATACTGATACCTTGACTTCGATACTGGTTCCTGAACGATACTTTTTTCAATACCAATTTTATGAAATCCGTTTTAACACGATTGCATTACACATTACCTTAAAAAACTTTGGTTTTATTTTTTCAGCTTGTTGAGGTTTTTACAGACTCACACTCTCCTGAGCCACTGCACAAAGGAACAAAATGTAACCAAGAAAATAATTCAGTGCAAATAGTTTTAATAAAGGCTACGTTTACACACAGTATCAAACTTGATAACCAGCCCTATTTCTAACCAGAAGTTTCTTCACATCTTGTTCTCAACTCAGTTGAACATGAGACTGACCGTCGTAAAACTTTGGAAGTGATTCAGTAACATAAGCATCTTTAAAAAGAATAGATTATGATGCACATGAACCAAGTTTAACATTTTGGTACATTTGGGAGAATATTTTGCATCAGTGGTCCATCCTTAAAGTACAAGCTGGTGATTTATGGGTCCAAGGAAACAATTTGCCTTTAATTTAGTAGATGTATCAGTCACAGGCTGTGTACATTGATTCAAAAAGATTTGAAAATGAAATGCTACTCTTGGACATGAAGAGGCCTCTTGGGCTCCTTTTGCATGCTATTTTGTTTACCCATCCTCCTGAGTGTGTGAAACTGGAGCAGTGAGCTCTCTGATACACAGTGTAATTGGTGTTCTACGGTGGAATGATGAGGCAAGGCCCTTTCCCAGAAGCTGACACAGGTTTCCGCCAATCGCAGGCGTCTCTGATATGGCAGGAACTGGAGGAGGATGAGGAGGGGCAGCAAGAGGCCTCTTTTCGGAGCCTGTTTTGCCCAGGGCTGCGTGGAAGAAGAGCCAGGATGAGGCCAGAGGAAGAAGAGGAGGGCAGGGGAGGGCATTCTCACCGCAGACGAGACCGCATCTCAGATTACTCTGATGGCGAGCGTCTGAGATATTTCATCATGGGCACTGTGGCGGCAGTCCTAGCCTTGCTGTTCAACCTCATCTATCCTTTGTTGTACTGGTCCAACTGGGCTTAATTTACTGGTCACTGCAGCCGCAGACCCTCAGCAGAAACTAAAGATTTGCACTTTGCATTGTTCTATTAGTCATCACTCTTCTCTTAACAACTTCAATGTTATTTAGCTTGGGAGTCACACAGACTGATATATATCCATGCTATTCAGGGTTGTTTTTATTTTTCATTTGTTGTTTTACAATAATGTCCAGAATGTTTCATAAACACTCAGGAAAAATGTCTTGCATAAATATAAATGTACTTAGTATAGACTTGAGATTTTATTTTAGCTCTATGACCAATCAATAAATCAAAACTTAGATTAAAAATATTTAAGGGATCCAAAAAAAACAAAATCCAAAAATGAAAAATAATAATTTACTCCGTCATGTTGTTCCAATCCTGTATGACATTATTTTTCAGAACATAAAAAATATGTTTTAAAGAATGTTGGTAACAAAGCAGTTTCCATTGTATTTTTTGGTCCATACAACGGAAATCAATGGGAACTAAAGCTGTTTGGTCACCAGTGTTCTTCAAAATAACTTATGTTCATACAGGTTTGGAAGGACATGATGGTTAGTAAATGGTGTCAATCTGCGATGACTCTTTATCTCTAGGTATATCAGATTTAAAGTCAATATGAATTCAAAGTTTATTCAAGTTAATGTATTAGTGTTGATTTCTGGTCTTATAATGCATGATTCATAAGTGCATGCTATTCCCCAAACAAAAATTATTTTATTTATTTTTTCTCCTTTTTTTTTTTAACTCTTATGTTTTTATTTCAGCTGAAGTAAAATCAATGTAATATACTTTTGTTCAATAATATTTTTTCATTTATTATTTCCTATTTTTATGGACATCTTATGGTACTAATTGATATTTATTCAAGCATTTGTTTTACGTTTTCTTAATTATTTTTTTATTTTTCCCAATTGTTGCAATATTTCAGGTTAAAATAGAGACAAGACCCTTTAATTATAGTGGATGAATTACTGATTTTATTTCACACATTTCCAAAAATGTGCTGTTTCAGTCACACAAGTTAATTTGTGTGTGTGAGTGGGTGTGTTTCGCACTTTTGATGTTTTGAAGTTTAACCCCTTCATTGCTGTGTCCTTTTTCCTGCATTGTGGCTGAACTGTTGATTTGATTTTACACATTTGCAAAAACCTGTTATAGTCACACAAGGTTGTCACTCTTGATGTTTCAGAGTGTCATTGCTATGTACTTTTTTATGCATCAAGGCTGATTTGTAGAATCTACATGCAAAAACGTATGTATTTTCATATTTTTCCCTATTTCTTGTTCCTTTCCTATGGCAATCATTTTTGACGACGAAGGCCACAAGTGTGACTTTTTGAATCATGCCCTCAATTTTATTTTGTGTTTTCATAGCAAGTCCCATAAAGGTCACCAAGTTTCATACCTTTCAGATGAAGTTAGAATTTGTAAAAATTCAAAACAAAATTGTTAGGTCAGTAGTGACCAAAGAACACCAGAGGGTTAAAAATAGATGAACTGATTACCATTTTGTGAGTCAGTGAGGCAGATCTGCTCAGTACTGTACTTCGGAGTTTTTTCCCCCTCTACTTTGCATCATTGATTCAAAGCCTAGTTGCACGTGTTGTAAATTGAGATGAGATCCACATATTGCAAAATGAATGGTACCCGGGTTTTTGGATATGTGGCCATTACAAAAGTCTCAGGGATGCTGGTGGGCTATAATGGTTGATGTAGCTGTCCACACTATAAAGCCTAAAGACATTTGGCTTCTGTGAATGCCTCAGGTCTGGACACCATGACCGAAACGATCCCATCAGATTGTTATTATACCTCATCATGCAAAAACGTATGTATTTTCATATTTTTCCCTATTTCTTGTTCCTTTCCTATGGCAATCATTTTTGACGACGAAGGCCACAAGTGTGACTTTTTTTTTATGACCACTTAGCCTTTTTGAATCATGCCCTCAATTTTATTTTGTGTTTTCATAGCAAGTCCCATAAAGGTCACCAAGTTTCATACCTTTCAGATGAAGTTAGAATTTGTAAAAATTCAAAACAAAATTGTTAGGTCAGTAGTGACCAAAGAACACCAGAGGGTTAAAAATAGATGAACTGATTACCATTTTGTGAGTCAGTGAGGCAGATCTGCTCAGTACTGTACTTCGGAGTTTTTTCCCCCTCTACTTTGCATCATTGATTCAAAGCCTAGTTGCACGTGTTGTAAATTGAGATGAGATCCACATATTGCAAAATGAATGGTACCCGGGTTTTTGGATATGTGGCCATTACAAAAGTCTCAGGGATGCTGGTGGGCTATAATGGTTGATGTAGCTGTCCACACTATAAAGCCTAAAGACATTTGGCTTCTGTGAATGCCTCAGGTCTGGACACCATGACCGAAACGATCCCATCAGATTGTTATTATACCTCATTAAGGTCATAGGTCAGGACTATGTCATGATGGGTGTTCCTGTTTGAAATGTTACTGGTTATAATTGAAAAGCCAATCTTTGGGCACAGGACTGCTTTGTGCATGTTTGTTATCATTTAGGCAGTAATTGAATATGTTTGGGTAAGTGATTTTTATTTAAATATTATCTTAAAATGAAAATATGTTCATGTTATTTATGATGCTGCACAAAATGTCCCAGCAATAATTGAGGCCACTTTAAATGCTGCTCAATTGTTATAGTGCCTGTATCATGCTCTTCATAAACAATAAATAATTCAAGATGACCCTGTCTTGAAATCACTCATTTGAAATAGTTGAATACTTAAAGGGGTCCTGTTATGCTCTTTTACAAAGTCTTGATGTTGTTTTGGGGGTGTACTAGAACAGGCTCTCATACTAGGTTATTCATGTCATGCCCCCTTACCATAGCCGCCTGCGAGCTTCAGTATAAATATTGCGTCAAAATCAAATCAATTTGAGCACGATTTAAACCCGGATGATTGTAACCACTCTAAGTTTGTCTGCCTTGGGAAAGCTAGTGTGTCTCCTACATAGTGATAACACTCGTTGCTTTCTCAAGTGCAGCTCAACCAGGTCTCGTCCCATTCCTCGATATTTGTGATCTTACAGATCCCGGAAAATGTGCGTTGTAGTCCAAACAAGTCGTTCGTTGTAGTTTTTGAAAAGTGATTTCTGTTAAATAAAATATCTCCTTTTGAAGTGGACTTAGTAACTTTGCAGATCTTTTTTATGCTCAAACAGCAACATTACAAACTAACTAAAGTTGAAAAAGTGAAAAAGCATAATAGGACCACTTTAAACTTTGTTTTTGTGTGTGTGTTGGCATCCAAGTCTCCATTCAAAAGATGCATAAAGTTTCTCCCTTTATAATGGTGGTTTATTTTACAGGCTTCTAGCCAGACATTGTTTGGGACAGACCTGGACCCAGACGGACCGCCTCAGTTGAGCACAGAAGTGACCTCTGACATGTTTGCACACTCTGGAGAATGTGCCGCCCCGTCCTACAGCAACATGGAGGAGGTGGATTGAAACTTCACCCAGTCAGGGAGACTTGCTTCCTCTACAACAAAAAAAGCAAAAAATAGACATTAGTACTCACAAATGGATCGAGCATGGCAAAGGTGCTCAATTTTTTTTTTTTTTTTTACATTTGCAATGTGGACATAAAGACCACATTGCATTTCCAATGGAAAGACTGTTTGGAAGTGGCCGATTAAAGACGACATGCAGTAGGATGATGCTTAAAGTAAAGACTAATCCTCCAACACATTCACAAATAATTATTTAATTCTGGAAGGTGCACACATTGAAATATACTGTCATAAGAGGAAGCGCACAGGTCTCTTAAGGTTTTTTTTTTATGTATATATGTAAACATTTTAATACAGAAATTATGCCATTCACAATTTCACATGGTAGGTTTCTGAGACAATGTTTATCTTGCTTGTATTTACACGAGGTGTTACTTTGGGAAAAACAATCGGAGAGTGCGATCAGCATGGTTGGTTTGGATGCACAGACGAGTTAGGTGTTTGTTCTCACTGAAGAATGTCTCACATGTCTCCTGGCCTGATGTGTTTCTTTGTAAAGAGTCTGGAGGTATTGTGTAAAACTTTTTGCAGGTGTTGTAGATGAGGTTTTAAGTGTGGACAAGGCAGATTGCTTGATTTTTATTTGATTTCCCCCCTCACACACAGGCCATTTCTCAACTGAATGTTCTGTTCTTTCTTTCTCAGACAATCTAGTGATTGAAATTCTTTTGTTTTACTCCATGTCAGATCCTGTGGAAATGCAAAAGCTTGATGGATTGAGATGCATGTTAGCCTACAATAGCCCTAGTACTGTATATCATATATCATCTTTTGTTTTTTGAAGTTTTGAGTAGATTGTCGTTTTCGTGTTGGACTGCATAGCAAGCAGGAACTGGGGATTTGATCGTAAGAATGCTGCTGTGAATAAAACAAATGGTTATTAATATAAAGGCATTTTTTTTGTGTAACAACCTTAAATGTTACAGTTGTATGTGCATATTTATTTGTCAAGTTTCACATGTTAAGTTTAGAAGTAAAATATTATAACAAGCAGGTGAACCTCCTAAAAACTTCATGAAACACTCCAAAATCAAAAGAAATCATATTTTGCACAAAGAAAGTGTGACACGTTGGCTGACAAAATTGAATGAATGGGAAAGTCAGTATCAAAGCAATGTTTTTACATTTGGTTTGAATGCAGTCTATATATCAGACGATTTTGAAAAGACATACACCGAAATGAAGAGGTAAAACGATAAAATGCACACTTACACAGATGGAGAAAGACTGAAATGTTAAAATATAATACTATATTTGAAATGTAATACTGTTATTGTCTTGATACTGATATGTTTCTTACAAACAGCTTTTCGCTTCAGTCGTGTGAATAATTGTGACGTTTTAATCAGCTGTTTGGACATTCTGACGGCACCCATTCACTGCAGAGGATCCATTGGTGAGCAAGTGATGGAATGCTAAATTTCTCTGGTGAAGAAATAAACTCTTCTACATCTTGGATGGCCTAAGGGTGAGTACATTTTCAGATGAACTATGTCTTATGTACATGTCCGTATACTCATAAGACTGTTATGCTCAAAATGCTCACTTTTTTTAAATGTGTATATATATATATATTGGCCAAACTCTCTTGCTCCGCATCACGTCGCATGGTTCTCACTGTTTTCAGGTAAGTTGGAAGGTTGTTAAAAGCACTAACTCTGCTCCAGCCTTGAGAGGGTG